CTCCCACTCCCCCTGCTTGTGTTCCCTCTCTCGCTGTGTCTCTCTCTCTCTCAAATAAATAAATAAATAAATATTTTTTTAGAGAGTGAGTGAGCGTGCACGCACGGGCCTGGGGGTGGGGCAAAGAGAGGGGGAGAGAATCACAAGCTTACTCCCCAACAAGTGTGGAGTCTGACAGGGGGCTCAATCTCATGACCCTGAGATCATGACCTGAGCCAAAATCAAGAGTCAGACGATTAACTGAGCTATCCAGGCGCCCCAAGAATTTTTTTAAAAGTGAAGCTCATGTCTCCAAATAAACAGTAAGATTGGTACTATTTTATAGAAAAACACTTAAGTGCTGTAATTTTTTTGAGAAAAAAAGTTTGGCTCAGTCTTAAATTCCTAATACTATGTATTATATCAAAAGATACTGGGACACCTGGGTGGCTCAGTTGGTTAAGTGTCTGCCTTCAGCTTAAGTCATGATCCCAGAGTCCTGGGATGGAGTCCCAAGCCAGCTCCTTGCTCAGAGGGGAGCCTGCTTCTCCCTCTGCCTGCCACTCCCCCTGCTTGTGCTCTTTCTCTGACAAATAAAATCTTAAAAAAAAAAAAAAAAGATACAACAGTGATGCAACATTTACAGGAAAAAAAAGAATTTTAAGGATCTCCCTCCAAAACTTTGGCACCAATTACAGTAATAGGGCTGTTTGACAGGGTGATCGGATTTAAAATATGAATGGGGCACCGGGCTGACCTAATTGGTGGGGCTTGCGACTCTTGGGGGTCATGGGTTTGAGCCCCACAGTGGGCTTAGAGTTACTTAATAAAAAAAAAAAAACCAAAAACCAGGAACTTATAGCAAAACAAAATATGGGGAGATACAATCTCTGTAATTATTTACTCCCAAACTCTAGACTATTTACAACTGAATAACCATGAGTTAAACTTTTTAATTTAGAAACATTTCAGGTTACTTTTTAGAGAACTTTAACCAAATTTGACTTTTAAGAAAAAACTGAAAATTGAGATAGTCTATAAAATTCACCATTTTAAAATGTTTGCTTTAGTTTTTATATATTCACAAGGCTGTACAAACCATCACCACTGTCTAATCCAAAATATCATCCCCAGAAGAAACCCTGTGTCACCCATTAGCAGTAATTCTTCATTCCTTCTCCACTCCCACAGCCACCACTCTGTCTCTGGACTTGACAATTCTAGACATTTCATATAAATGGAATGTTTTGTCTGACTTCTTTCACCGTTTCAAGGCTCATCCACATTGTAGCATGTAACAAACAATACTTCATTACTTTTTATTGCCTAATATCCAACTGATTGTATGGCCATACATTTTATTTATCCATCCATCAGTTAATAGTTATTTGGGTTGTTTCTACCTTTTGACTATAATGCAACTATGAACAATTGTGTGCATGTTTTGTGCAGACATGTTTCATTTCTCTTCGTTATGTATATCTAGGAGAATTTCTGGGTTACACTATTTTCAATCTTCTGAGGAACTGCCAAACTTTTCTACAACAGATAAGCATTTTCATCTTATCAGCAATGTATGAGGGTTCTAATTTCTCCACATCCTTACCAAACTTGTAATGTTCACCCTCTTGATTACAAACACGTTAGTAGGTGTGATGTATCTCCTTGTGATTTCCCTAGTGACTAGTGATGTTCAACATCTTTTCCTAGGATACTGGCCATTTATCTTTGGAGAAATTCTTTTTTTTCAGTAGGCTCTACGCCCAACATGGGGCCAGAACCCAAAGATCATCACATGCTCTACTGACTGAGCCAGCCAGGTACCCCTTGATTTGTTTTTAAATTGGGGTTTCTTTGTTGTTAAGTCCCCTGTATATTCAGGATTTGCAAATATTTTCTCACATTCTCTGGGTTTTTTAACTTTCTTTCACTTTCTGGTCCTTTGAAGCAGTTTAAAATTTTGATGAAGTTCGAGTTACCTGTTTAACCTTTAATTGCTTGTGTTTTGGTGTTAGATCCAAGAAACTGTTGCCTAATTTAGTCACAGAGATTAATGTCAATTATTTTTTCTTAAGAGTTCTGGAGTTTGAATGTTTAAATCTTTGAACCACTTTGAGTTAATTTGTGTGTATGGTGTGAAGGTAGATACCCAGCTGTCTCAGAATCACTTGTTGAAAAGATTATTCTTTCTTATATTGAATGGTCTTGGCAACCTCAGCAAAAATAAACCAAAGGGGGGGCGCCTGGGTGGCTCAGTTGGTTAAGCGACTGCCTTCGGCTCAGGTCATGATCCTGGAGTCCCAGGATTGAGTCCGACATCAGGCTCCCTGCTCAGCGGGGTGTCTGCTTCTCCCTCTGACCCTCTTCCCTCTCATGCGGTCTCTCATTCTCTCTCTCAAATAAATAAATAAAATCTTTTAAAAAAATAAACCTAAGGGTTTATTTCTGGACTCTCATTTTCTAAGATTTCATTTATTTAATTGACAGAGAGAAAGACATACACACAGAGAGCAGGAACACAAGCAGTGGGAGTGGGAGAGGGGGAAGCAGGCCTCCCGCCGAGCAGGGAGCCGGATGTGGGGCTCCATCCCAGGACCCTGGGATCATGACCTGAGCCAAAGGCAGTCGCTTAACCGACTGAGCCACCCAGGCGCCCCTGGACTCAATTTTATTCCATCAGTCAGCATAAGATGTCTATCCTTACACCAAGACCCCTGTCATGACTACAGAATCATGTTGGTTTTCAAGATTATTTTGACTAGTTTGAGTCCCCTGCATATCTATACAAATTATGTTTGTCATTTCCTGCAACAAAAAAAGTAGCTGTGTCTTTATAGGGATTACACAGAACCATAGATCAATTTGGGGAGGACTGCCATCTTCATGATACTGTTTTTCAGTTCATGAATATGGGACGTCTTTCCACCTGTTTAGGTCTTCTCTCAATAGTGTTTATAATTTTCACAGGTTTTTCAGTTTTGCTAAACTTTTTGATGGGTTATAAATGAAATTTCCTTAATTTCACTTGTATAGAATACAACTGATTTCTGAATATTAACTTTGTGTCTTGCAATCATGATTAAGTCAGCAGCTTTTTTGTGTGGGGATTCCTATAAGCTTTCTACAAGATCACATTATCTGCAAATAGTTTCACTTCTTCCTTTCTAATCTAGAAGGAAGCCTTTTGTTTCTTCTTGCCTAATTGCCCTGGCTAGAGCCTTATCCGTATAATGCTGAATAGAAGTGGCAACAGGGAACTTGCTTGTCTGGTTCTTGATTGCAGGGGTTAAGTTTTTAGTTTCTCATCATCATGGCCATTAATTAGCTTTAGGTTTTTGGTAATGCTTCTTTTCAGTTTGAGGAGTTCCCTCTTGTATTTCTAGTTTGAGTTTATTAAAGGATTTTAAAAGAAATCTTAAGACTCAGGAAGCATTTAAATACAGGATCCAAATATTGAGTATAACAATACGAATATTGACACATTTCAATCTATATGTGAAAGCAGAATCTAGACATATATAAAGGAGTGGTCACCTATGCTTAAAAAACTTGGAAGGGAGGTGTCTGTGTGTCACTTCCAAAAAAGTTACTTAAAAGACAGTTTCTCCTTACATATTACTAAAGTCTTGGATTTCTAACTGGACACCTAGTTTCCCTTTATAAGAACCACATTCACCAAAATGCTACTGCAAGAGTGGCCAACCTCAGCAAGGGTAAAACATAGAATTCAGGAATGCTTTAAAAAAAAAAAAAAAGTCACAATCTTCACCAAATTTTAAATTATATAAAACAGAAATGACATTTTTGTGATGGATGTTTTAATGTAATTTTAGGCCATTCATTTTACACTTATGGAATGCCTACTATGCTTAAGGCATTGTGTTAGATCTTCCCAAAGACATGGTTTTGTCATATTAATACAGTTCTTAATGACTTTTTCTTCATTCTTGCTTCAGGGCCTACACGTAGGGCTGTGGTTTGGCCACCCCTACTCTACACTCTGGTCTCTTCCAGAGGAGAGGACAGCAGTCACTATCTTGATAAGGTGTGTTAGCTTAGCAATCACCATTTTAGTACCTGGAGAGAAACAGATTAACTTCCTTTAATGGTGATAAATGAGTATGCTTTGAAAAAAGCATAACAAAAAGTGGATGGCTTAAGTTTAACAAAAAGTGAAGATTCTACACTGTCAGCCATTTGACAAAACAAAAATTGAAACCCAAACAAAATCAAAATTAACTTCTATAAATTAAATAAGTTACAGGTTAGTGAAACTGTGGGAAAGGCTGTATATTAAATAATATCTGCATGCAACCAATTACAAGTCTGTAAATACTTTTATCCAAAGTTCTACAACCTTATCCAGAAGCACTGACAAATATCAAGGTGCATAATCTGTAAGAAACTATAATTTGATGTTAAATTTAAGGGAATACTGTAAATAACTGATATATATACATATATATATTTGATACATTAGAAACTAACACTTGAAAACTAATTTTAAGGTCTTTAATTTCAATTAAAATCTATAAATGGAGATTAGTTTGGATTGTATGACAGAGGAGACAATAAAACTTATTCTCAAAGACATACCAATACATTTTCTTAGAATAAAAGCTAAGCAAATGAGAATTTTCATACTGTGCATGGGAATAACTAAAACCTTTATTAGATATGGTTTTCCAATAACAATGTGAAAATTGGAATTATCAATTCAAAGAGCATTGAAGTCTGAAATTTAAAAAAGTAGACTAGATATTAAGGGATAAAAGGTAAAGGAAGACGAAAATGTTTAATACTATTCAATATATCCCCTCTGTACACAATGTTGCATATATACAACTACTCCATTTTAATTTTATTGATTTTATATAATAGTGAAATCCCCTTAAGCAACCTAGGGTATACAGATGGTGTCCAACTTGGGGGAAAAAAAAGTAGAAACACACTTGATTAACAGTTTTCACCCACACATTTTAGACAGACAACTTTTTTTTTTTTTTGCCAAGATTTTCATAGTAAATTCATAAATATAGGAAATACTTTCACTCCTTCAGTGTTAAAATAGAAAACCAAACAGTGCCAACAGCAGTGGCTTAATTATTGGCATACAAGAAAAACACAACACCAATGGGTTTTCTTCATTATGCATTTTAAATATCAATATGTGCATTTGTTTCATTTTTACAGTTATAAATTTCCTAGTCTGTTATAGACAACAGCATTTAATAGTTTTGAATCCATTGAGATGTTGCTTTCAATTTGAAATATTGTGTGTATACATGTATATAAAAAAATAACCCAATGTATGACTCATCTGACAGATGTTTAAGATCAATAAAGGCTTATTTTTCAACATGCAGTTAGGAGAGAAGGAAGCAAGGCAACCTCTCCACATTGTCTTTGTTGCTGGCTTGTTTTTGCAGTGGTATCAATAGTGGTTTTGGAGGGAACCGTGTGCCTTCAGCCTAGCTATTTAAGATCAGATACCACAATCAACAAGAGGGGTAGGGAATATGGGGGGAGGGGAATATGGGCAGGTGTTAAATTTTAAAAGTGTGCATTTTGCACTCTTTCTAGGTACAGGATAAAACAGGCCAATGAGGGTAAAGTTTTATAATTAGGAAAAAACTGCAATCAAATCAAGACATAATAGCCGAATTAAGTTCTTTTAATAGATTGCATATATAGATGTTTAGCCATACTCTTTGATCAACTCTTTAAGAGTAGAACTTTATATCCAATTTACATGCTTCAAATATCACCTTTCTTATTTGATACAGTAAGGTCTTGTATCCAAGTCTCCACTTGTACACTGAGAGCTTTAAGAAAAAACAGGACACAGAGGGAGTTGCCATTTTTTAGCAGCAATGAAATATCACTAACCCCTTTTAACATACCGAATTCAAGTCACTATCAGAGGTGAGTGCACCACAAAGTCACCAGGTACAAAATTGCTAGTTCATTTTTAAATTAATAACCTGAAATTACCCTGCCCCCCCCACCCCATTACATCCCTTCTTTTTATAAACAGCAAACATTTTGCTATTTTATACATAGGCTAGCAGGCTTGTTTCAATATGAAAGTGCTAATTCATTTACAGATTTTTTTTTAATCAGTTATGTAGTGCTACAATAAATGTCCAATAATCTACATAGGAACAATCTTTGATGAATGAAAATGATGAAGACTGAATAAGGCTATCGATTACCTTATCTTATTTACATATAAAGAATAGATACCCAATGGTGAGGAAGAGACAGAAATTGGACAAATACTCATAGGTGTAAAAATTACATCTACCTTTGAGCTTATACTGTAAATGAGACATTTTAAATAGTCCTGTAGCCCATGCCTATTTTTTCCTCAGAAAAAGAAAAGCTGCCTTCATGACATCCCCTCGTTTCAGATTTCCACAGTGTCACTTGAACTTTCAGTCAGAATCTTACTTTCTTCAAAAAATAAAGAAAATACCACCCCCAAATTACCACCCTCCCCCCCAAAATCCCTCTGGTTTCTTTTTCAGTGCCAAGTTGCATGATCAGGTCCAACCTCCTGGGGTTTTTTTGTCCATCTATTGATCAATTAGTTTAGAGTAGATAACATGAACCAGTTCTGGAACCACTACTAGGAGGAACACAAGCTCTTCACTACAATCACACAGCAGGAAAGAAAGTGATAACTCAATTCATCCCTGGTGCCGGGCCTCCAAAATTGAAAGAACTTGGCACAACTGGAGCACTGAATTTGTATCCTCCATGCTTCTCAATCATTTTGGATTCTAAAAAAACAAGTAAGTGAAAGTTTAATAGAATATTTGATCATTTTACTACTTTGGAGAAGAGAAGGAATTGACAGACATTAACAAAAGCTTAAACCCACTAGTTCCAAAGTTGTCCTCTCCCTCCTTCTCTTATACAGGAGTAAGAGAGGGGAAGGGGTACATTATAGAGAGATGATAAACCCTCATGTTGTATGCTGTAGACTTCTTAGCCAACTTTCACTTTCTGATGTTAAAAAAAAATCTTTAAATACACCTTTCTGAGTCAAATACTGAATCAGAACTCAAGTCTTCAACAAAGGGAGTAACAGCTAATGAATCTAGTGCAGGGAAATCCAAATATAAAATATCTTAGAAAGTTGTGCCTTCTTTGTAAGGAGGATACTATTTTTAATATTAAACTAATCTGACTAATAGTATTAAGACCTATAGAAAATTGTTAGGCTGTGTATTATCTAAAATGTCCTTTCCTGAAATGCATACTGAAATGTTTAAAGATGGTAAGATGTGATGATGTCTGTGATTTCCTTTAATATTCCTAAGAAAAAGCATAGTTTTCCTAACCTAAAAATTTTTTTATACTTTTAATAGAATTTTCCACTATTAAGTCATCACTATGAGCTTGAGCAACTTTATCAAAGCTATTGCACACTGAAAGCAGTCTTTGACTACACTTAAAATCAGTCAACTATGGCCAAAAACAGAACTCATTTTCTCATTTCATTCCTTTATTCCTTCATAATTCCTTCACCTGTAACAACTGTACCTTTTAAGTAATTTTAAATCATTTAATATAAAATGTTAAAGCTGTATCAAGTCATCAATTGCACTAAAGAGGGTTTGTGGTCAATTGACATACCATGGGCTGCTCTTCTTTGATCAGCCAGTGTTGCTATATCCTGCAACTGTTTTCTTTGTTCTTCATTAAGACCATGAGTCAAAGCCTGATACCACACAGGATTACGATTTTGTATAGCTATCAAAAAGAAAACAAGGGGAAAAGGGCAATAATATGAGAGGCCTGGTAGTTCCTTTCTAATATGTTCCTTCTACTTCACCTCCAGTACTGAAATTCTAATCTACTTTATATTTTCCCAAAAATAATTTAAGTTACTTAAGTTATGTGTGAAACAAAAGATATAGGGAGAAAAAAATTCTGGTTTGGCTTTACGCTGAAAAAAATCTAATCATTCTCATACTTCATATCTCTAGCAAGAAATCAGAGCTGAAACCAGTACTTATATAATTAAGTAACAAAGTAGAGAAACTTTAAAATAACCCAACCTATACAAAAGATTCACAGTTAAAAGCAATTGATCAAGGCTACTTTGGTTAGAATTCTCAAATCCCGAAATTAAAAAACAAAAATCAGAAACATTAAGTAGATCAAGAAAGAAGTAAATGGTACAAAATAAACACCTTATTTTGTTCTGTACTGCCCCATCAAAAACCTTTCTTAAAAACATCTGTCTTTTTCCAATGGTAGCTCTGCAATACTTATAATGCTCATGTTTTATATTATAGCCTAAAATAATGGTCAAACCCAATCTGTAATAAGTGGATAACAAATTTTCCCAGCATGTGACAAGACCAGGTATTAAAATCTCAGTGTTGGGCGCCTGAGTGGCTCAGTTGGTTAAGCCACTGCCTTCGGCTCAGGTCATGATCCTGGAGTCCCAGGATCGAGTCCCGCATCGGGCTCCCTGCTCAGCAGGGAGTCTGCTCCTCCCTCTGACCCTCCCCTCTCTCATGCTCTATCTCATTCTCTCTCTCAAATAAATAAATAAAATCTTAAAAAAAAAAAAATCTCAGTGTTGGGGTGCCTAGGTGGCTAAGTCATTAAGTGTCTGCCTTCGGCTCAGGTCATAATCCCAGGGTCCTGGGATCGAGTCCCGCATCGGGCTCCCTGCTCGGCGGGAAGCCTGCTTCTCCCTCTCCCACTCCCCCTGCTTGTGTTCCCTCTCTCGCTGTCTCTCTCTCTGTCAAATAAATAAATAAAAATCTTAAAAAAATTAAAAAATAAAATCTCAGTGTTTCATAAAAACATGCACTAGATAAATTGACATATAAGGATATCAAGTTTGACCATGTATTTCCCTATTTCAATTAAGTACCTATACAAAGGGGTAGGTGGGTGCTGATTTAGAGAAAAAAGTTCTCTATAAAGACTTTCCACAAAAGAAGTTTTTCACACAGTAATTTTGAGGTATTTGGGGGGGAATCTGACAACCCATCACATGCTTTTCTATTTCTATTTTATTGCATTTACTATGCACAGGCCTTCTACTATAAACCATCCTTTGGGATTAACATGTATTTAAGTCTATAAAATACAAAGTCACAAAAACAAGTCAGTAATTCTTGGCACCTCCATCAATTCTTGCTGCCTGCCATGTAGCTCAGAAACCACTCCTTTGTATTTCTGTAACCTTGCATCATAATTGCTTTGTCATGGGTTTGGAAGACTAATGCCTTGGTTATCAGAGAATTTATTCTACAACAAAGTTATAATACATAGGAATGACAGCACAGTCGTAACTCTGTGGAGAAAAAGGTGTTTCAAATATAGTGCCAATTTTAATTTCTTAAGTTGGATAGAACGGAGATGTTATATTTTGTTGAAGTCCAAGTAAAGGATGGTAAAGCCACATACAATGTATTACAGGAAAAAAACAGAAGGGATTCCAAGACCATTAATGTTAAAAATGGTCAAATTCTCAGAAAGTTAACTGTGGTTTTAGCCGGAGGGAAAAAAAAGATACACAAATACATAAACATGCAACAAACAGATTTAAGAATGGATACTTCTGGAGAAAGCTGAAAGGTTAGAAATCAGAAGTGGGAAAGAGGAATTGTCATTATATCAATTTTGAACTATACTATTTTCCTATAATGTGCATGTTTCAATATGACAATCTACATAACATAATAAAATGAGGAAATACTCTATGACTCTATGGCAACAGTAGTAACTTTGGATACTTTAGCTATTAATCCTTCAATCATAGTCGAGTTTGGATTTGATATCCCTAAAAACCCTTTTTTAAGTGATAGACACAAATAAGAACAGGAAGGTTCAGGGAAATGGATCATATAGAGCTATATGAATTACATATAACAAGTTGACTTACTTTGAAATATAGCTTTAAATATCTGATACTCATCAACAGGGTTATCTTCATCATCAATGATTGTGGAATAGCCTTCCAGAGCAGTCTCCTCAGCATCATCTTCTTCCCAATCTTCATCATCTCCATCCTCACCTGCTTGCTTAGCCAAAATCTCCAAATATTCTTGCCCATCTTCATCAATATCATCTTCATCACTCCCCAGTTCCTCTGCAAGCCATAAATAGGTGCATTTGTTAACACCGAAGTATTCTCTTACTCAACAAACTGACAGTGATCACAGTCAGTAAATTACAAATCACAACTGAATAAATTCAAGTTCCAGGAACTGGTGTTTAAATACAATATTCAGGGTGCCTGGGTGGCTCAGTCATTAAGCTTCTGCCTTCGGCTCAGGTCATGATCCCAGGGTCCTGGGATCGAGTCCCACATAGGGCTCCCTGCTCAGCGGGAAGCCTGCTTCTCCCTCTCCCACTCCCCCTGCTTGTGTTCCTGCTCTGTCTCTGTCAAATAAATAAATAAAATATTAAAATAAATACATACATACATACATACATACAATATTCAGCGGGGCACCTGGTTGGTGCAGTTAGTTAAGCATCTGACTCTTGGTTTCGGCTCAGATCGTGATCTCAGGATCATGAGATCAAGATCTAAGCTGGGCTCTGCGCTCAGCGCAGAGTCTGCTTGAGATTCTTTCTGCCCCTTCCTCTGCCCCTCCCACTCCTGCTCTCTCTAAAATAAATAAATAAATAAATAAATACAATATTAAGCAATAAAGAGAGTAAAAAACTCTCATAGAAATCCAAGAAACCCAACCACAATTCCTAATACCAGAGGTTTGAACATAATAGGAGATTCAGCACTTGTGCTCTGGACCTTATGGTATATACCAAACCAAACACCAACAGTAAAATAATATAGTTTATGTTATATCATTTATTGTGAGTTTTTTTTTAAGGTTAAGTTGGTGAATCATAAAAAAATGGCAATACCTATCTTATTCTGAAACCATTACAATAATTTCTCTTAACCAACATTCTATCAATTTATACTCTTGAAGTCTATAGTGTCCTACAAGTGAAATGTATTAGCCAATAGCTGATCAAATTAATTTTATAGTGCAGGTATACTTAGGTTTTAGCACTAACAGATGACAGATGTTTGCCAACAGCAAAAACCATAAATGCCTAAAACTGCTTTACATGTTGGGAGATCTAGCCAAAGTTCCTGCCTTCGCAGACCTTACACTCTAGCAGGAAGTAAGGCAGTCTTTCTATGAATGAATTAACATGAAAGCATTTGGGTATGATTCCACACTTCTTCAGAAGGGTTAAAAAAAAGTCCAGAAGAAACAAGAGCGCGGTGTGAACATGGGGAAGCAAAAGAAAGCCAGAAAGTATGCGACCATGAAGCGAATGCTTAGTCTCCGAGATCAGAGGCTTAAAGAGAAGGACAGATTAAAACCTAAAAAGAAAGAAAAGAAAGATCCCAGTGCACTCAAGGAAAGAGAAGTCCCCCAACATCACTCCTGCTTATTCTTCCAATATAACACACAGCTGGGCCCACCTTTCCACATCCTGGTTGATACCAACTTTATCAACTTTTCCATTAAAGCGAAACTTGACTTAGTACAGTCAATGATGGACTGTCCGTATGCCAAGTGTATCCCTTGTATAACTGACTGTGTAATGGCTGAAATCGAAAAACTGGGGCAAAAGTATCGAGTGGCTCTAACGATTGCCAAGGATCCAAGATTTGACCGATTACCATGCACACACAAAGGAACCTATGCAGATGACTGCTTAGTACAGAGAGTAACTCAGCACAAGTGTTACATTGTGGCCACAGTTGACCGAGACCTTAACGAAGAATCCGGAAGATCCCTGGAGTTCCCATCATGTACATTTCTAACCATAGGTACAACATTGGGCAGATACCAGATGATTATGGAGCCCCTCGGTTCTAATTCTTAAAAGATAGAGTTCCTCTGCCTTCCTTTACCAACTTTTTCTGTTGCCAGTTCATATTAGCAATATGCTGTAGCATGAATTATTCTTCTTACCCATTTGCTGTTATGAGCTGACTGTAGTTAAATACTCACTTTTTGATGTTTTGAAATTGATATTTTGTATCATTTTAAATATTATTGCATCTTTTTATAAATCAGATGATTGCTCATATAAAAAAAAAAAAAAACAAACAAGTCCACAGCGCCTGGGTGGCTCAGTCGTTAAGCGTCTGCCTTCGGCTCAGGTCATGGTCCCAGGGTCCTGAGATCTAGTCCCACATCGGGCTCCCTGCTCTCAGTGGAAAGCCTGCTTCTCCCTCTCCCACTCCCCCTGCTTGTGTTCCCTCTCTCACTGTCTCTCTTGTCAAATAAATAAATAAAATCTTAAAAAAAAAAAAAAAAAGTCCACCGATTTCTAACTAGGTAAGTTTGGCTTTCTCCACAAATCCCTTACCTGTTTCATCATCATCTTCAGCTTCATCATCATCATCACTGTCATTCTCGTGTTCTGCATGGCAGGCATATGCTCTTTTTAATCCATTAAATAAAAGGATAAAAGCTGGCAAAATCTGTCCAGAAACCTGATTTAAAACTTGTGGTATTTGTTCCATATCAATAAGAGCACAAAGGCCCAGAACGCACATCTTTCTGTCATGAAGCCTAAAAAATAAAATAAAGATTTTCTTCTTTTTTTTTAATAAGCAGAGTTTCTCACAAAGTTAAATAAACAAAGATCCAATATATGTCACTTACCCCAAGAAACAATCAACATCATTAAGCCACTGTGTAATAAAATGATTCGTAACTGGTTCAACATTATTAGGGAAGCGAAGATTTTCTAAGGTGTTGAGAAGTAGGTGCGGATTATAATACAAAGCTGCAATGGCAACTTGCAGGCACATTGTCCGAAGTTCACTTGTCTTCACCTCTCTTGTCAGTCTCTCTAAAGCGGCTTCCACAAATAAGGGAATGCACTATAAAGACAGCAAAATATTCCAAAACCTTAAGTAACAGCAGTCTAACCATCCTACCCATATTAACTTGTTGCCTCTAACCTCTTTTTCTCTCCATCAGATGACCTAATAGTTTTTGCTATTGAGGCATTCACTGAGAAATCTAACTTTAGAGAAGACAAGTCTTCACTGGGCTATTAGAGCCTCACGATAGCCAGCTGGATTCTCAATATTCTTATTGACTAACCTTATTGTAGTAATCACTTCACAATATATACGTCTGTATCAATTCATCATATTGTACACCGTAAGCTTATATGTTATATTTCAATTATATCAATAAAGCTGGAAACTGACCACGGAAATTTAACAACTAAATCTATCTTACTGCAAAGTGATAATGTGACAAACAATACTCTCACAGCCTACTATAAAAAAATCTTACCTTGCATAACAGCCATAAAACTTGCCATATTTTCATACACATTAAACAAATGATCGTTATATATTGTTTAAATTTTAAACCAATAATTAAAAAATGTTATCTAGTACCATAATAAACAATAACATACAAAATACACAGCTGCCCCCCAAAGAAAAAAAGGTGGAGGAAAAGATTCTCTCTATGAAGCCTCAAACGGGAATTATTAATAGTTAGCCTCACTGACCTGGTCAATGCCACGCCCTTTGCACTGTAGAATGATGACCTCTAATAATTTTGCTGCATGACACTCTGCATCTTCTCCTGCAACTCCCGTAAGAACCTGATCAACACAGAAATATAAAACTGCAATGAGACATCATGAAACCTTTAAATCAGAGAATATCTGTCCTCTGTCTATACTCTTTGGAGTTTTTAAAAAATATTCTAATTAATTAATATAAATGATTACAATAATCATTGTGCAGACTATAATCTAAAGCAACTGTGAGGATTTGGAGTCGCTGGTTGGCTGTATCTCTGCAATCGCACATCTTGGTCTACAGTATAATCAAATCACCTCCCCTGTAGTGCCATTCTGAACCACAGCATGTTGAAAATCACTATCTTCTCATATGACCATCATAGCTAAAGCACCCTACCTTTCTTAGGGATATCAGGCTCTTATGTAAAGAAGTACAAGAAAAAAAAAATAATAAGCTGATATTGCTAGGAAAGCCGTTTCTCTACACAAGTCTCATAAACTAAAAAATAGTGTCACTGGACAAAGAGGCAGCTTGTTGATGGCAAATGCTATTCCCAAACAAGAAAAAAAAACGCGGACTTGACCTGCTACTTAGAGAACTCTTAAGTGTTACAGGTAACTTCTGGAAAAGAAAGTAGATCTTATAGACAGATATCACCGTTCCCAGAGTATTAACATAAACTATATAATTGACAATAAATAATGAATAGTATACCAGATGATTATTTTGTGACTATGTGTTCAGAAAGAAAAGATGTTAATGAAGACAAGCCTTTCTAAAAATTCCATGTTATTTATAAAGATTTTATTTATTTGAGATAGAGCGCAAGTAAGCGTGTGCATGAGACAGAAAGAGAGCATGAGTGGGGAGGAGAGGGAAAAGCAGGGAGCCCAACGTGGGGCTTGATCCCAGGACCCTGGGATCATGACCTGAGCTGAAGGCAGCCACTTAACCGACTGAGCCACCCAGGCGCTCCCTAAAATGCCTGGTGTTAAACAGCTAGCTGTCTCTCAGCACTGTTAGAAATGCAAATATTACCGAATTGTACTGACTTTGATATTGAAGGACCCCAATTCAACAACTGTATCCCCTATCTCTTGTGTAAGAAAATCATTAAAAAAAAAATTGGCATACATTTACTTGTGATTTTCCAAGAAATGGCACATACTTTTGACTTTCATTTTAAGTAAACCCTTGGTTTTTACAATCTTGCTATTTACTAAATAATTTCTGTAAAGCCTCCATAAACCTGTAACCTACAAGAATTTTCTTTATAAAACATCTTTATTTTTGATCCTTTCAAATCTCTCTCAAATAAGTTCTTGATTCTTTCCTTCCTTTGATTCAAAGGCTAGCAAAGAACTAGGATAAGGTAAGCTCCAGGCACTCTCAACATCAAAAACATTTATAACTATAATACAGTATCAGGGCAGACAGGGGCACCTGGGTGGCTCAGTCGGGTTAAGCGTCTGCCTTCTGCTCAGGTCATGATCTCAGGGTCCTGGATCAAATTCCATGTCGGGCTCCCTGCTCAGCGGGGAGTATGCTTCTCCCTCTGCCCCTCTCCCCTCTCATGCCCACCCTCTCTCTCTCTGAAGTAAATAAATAAAATCTTTAAAAAAAAATAGGGCAGACAGAAGACAAATATTTGTCAAAGGCATTACTGTGGCATATAGGAATCAGCCTCTTAGTTTATAGCTTTTAAAGCCCTTATTCTGTGAGACCCATATAATATGTTCACTATAATGTCATGTATCTTCACTCTTCACAATTTCATACTTATCACAGCACCAGCCTCATGACATATATCCTTATATTAACTAAAAATGACCCACCTTCTTACACATACTATATATCATTTCAAGATACTTGGTATCAGACAGAAGTGTATCTGTATCAACTGTTACGTAATTATGGAGCAGAGGCATCATATCTGTATTAACAAAAAACATAAAAACATTAAAAATGAATTAAACTAAAACATAAAAAAGTAATAAAAGTTAAATATCTTTACTAATATAAATGCTGTTTCTGAAAAATCTCCTTAGAAAACGAAAGCAAATATGAGATTGGTCTGTAACAGAGAGAGAGAGAGAGAGAGAGAGAGAGAGAGAGAGAGTATAATGCAAAGGTATTATTATATATTGTACAAAAAAGAATGACAGAAGCAGGAGGGTGAGAATATGTGTTAAAGGAAACAAATCTAAAAGAATAACTAAATCAAAATATATAATGGAAATCAATGATATCATCCTTGAGCATCAACTACAAGTGAAAACATCTAAATAAAGAAGCATTTAGATTATGTTCAACTGTATACTAAAAATAAATCAAAATGGGAAATCTTCAGTATTTCTATGTTGACTTGACTTACCTGTAAAATAATCAAAACCATCTTGCTGAAAAACCTCAAATACTAGAGGTAGCAACTGCCACATTTGCGGAGACACTTGTTGACATGTCAAACTATGTGCTAAAGAGAAGATCTCCTCGTAGAATTCTAAAGGAGAATATGGAGTCATTAGGACAATGCTGGCTGATACGAAAAAGCAGGAAATTCTAAACACAATTAGAGGTATATACCTAAGACATGCTGTTGTAAAACAGTTCCAATGACCTGTAAGCAGATTCCCTCAAGCTGCTGGGTTATCTAAAAAAGAAAAAAATTGTGTTACTACAGCATACCAGTGAATTAATCAATAAATAATGTATAATGCAATTCACTGCTTATTGAAATACAAAGTCAATATCTTAAATCATTTTAAGTCTTTATTTTGAAGTGACTCATTATAAAATTGTGGGTCAATGTGGAATTGAAATTTAATGAAATATCATTATAATTTAATGAAATACTATTACAATAAAACACATAAGAAATCACTTGCACAGTATACCTAAAAACTAAAGGAAAAAATAGTATCTTGGAAAAATGTAAATAATTATGAAAATAAAGGAGCCACATCATTCTGCAGATAGATTACAGACCTTTTTGTGTCTAAATATAGACCAACTCAGCCCAGGTGTAATTGAAAAGTCACTGTCCAATGGCTTACAGAAAAATTATTTGAAAGAAGGCATTATTCCTACCACTCCCCCTAATTCTTAAATCACCTCTATTTATATAATTGTTAGATATAGTGAACCACACCCCAAGACCAAAAATACAAATTCCTCTTTAATTGTCAGTATGATCCTCAATCAGATCCCAAATCCCTGGAAGCCATCAGAATGTTTAAAGAGTGGGGAGGGGAGACAAGATAAAGTTTACTAACTGGATACAGAACCAGGACATCCATTTCAATTACATATACTTAAAACATTTTCAACTCTTCAAATATAGTAACAACTGATTTGTTAACCACAGACAGCTACAGAATTCCTCATGGCGTCTGCCTATTTCCAATTATAATGCAGAATACAAATAGTTAACCAAAAATCTCCTGTGGCAAAAGGCAATTTGCAGATAATGTGAAAATAGGATTTATGGATATAAATATCTGCATGGAATTATAAACACCGAATTCAGGACCCTGGTTACTTCTAAGGGAAAGAAGGAGGGAAACGAGATCAGGAAGTGGTCCTCCAAGGGCTTCAATTACATCCATCTGAAATTGTTTTTTTACTGGAAATAAAGTCTAAAGGATATACTATAAAATGTTAAAACCTAATAAATGTGGGTGGTAAAGGGTACTGTTTATTGTTTTCTGTTCTTCACCCTTTTTTATATGTCTTAAATTACTTCATTTTTAAAAATTCATGATTACAATTCTCTTTCTGAAAGACAACTGTAAGAAAACTAGAAAGATGACAGTAATGATAGCACAACAATGTATACTTAACACCACTGAACTGTACACTTGAAAATGGTTAAGATGGTAAACTTTATGTTATGTGTACTTTACTATCATTAAGAAACATTTTTTTTTAATTAAAAAGAAAAACTAGAAAGGCACTTAGGTGGCTCAGTCAGTTAAGCGTCTGCCTTTGGCTCAGGTCATGATCCTGGAGTCCCAAGACCAAGCCCCATGTGCTTCTACCTCTGCCCCTTCCCCCCACTTTCTCTCAAATAAATAAATAAAATCTTAAAAAAGAAAAGAAAAAGATCTCAGGGTTGTGAGATCAAGCCCTGCACTGTGCTCTGCGCTGGGCATGGAGCCTGCATAAGATTCTCTCTCTGCCTCTGACCTTCCATTTAAAAAAAGGAAAACTAGGAAGGTTTTCCTAGGGACCACCACACTACTGGATCTGGATCTGAGAAAGGTAATCTAAGAGGCAGCCAAAATCCAGAGCCTTGAGATAAGGATACGGTAATACAAATACCTCCTTCCTATTCCTGCTAGTACTAAAGAACCTAAAATATTTATAAGATACCAATCTTTCCTTACAAAAGGGAACTAGTTAGAAGCTGGCACAATCAAGGTGAATGTCGAAGATAATCAAGAGAATTAGAGGGCGCCTGGGTGGCTCAGTCGGTTAAGCCACTGCCTTCAGCTCAGGTCATGATCCCGGAGTCCCAGAATCGAGTCCCGCATCGGGCTCCCTGCTCGGCAGGGAGTCTGCTTCTCCCTCTGACCCTCCCCTCTCTCATGTTCTCTCTCTCTATCTCATTCTCTCTCCAAAAAAAATAAAAAAATCTTAAAAAAAAAAAAAAAAAAAGAGAATTAGATAAGCCAGAGTCTTCCAAAAAAGCATTAGAACAGTTACTGAAAAATGGCTTTAAATTCCCTAAAACTTGGATCATTACCTGGATCAAAACCTTCTAACACTGAATCATTTTACCTCTTTATGATCTTCAACTACACTAAGAAGTGTGTCGATGGTATTCAGGATTCCCATAGCAGTAACTGCTTTGTCATCACTTCCTTCTTCATCTGGCCCAGTCTGGATTACCTGATTAAATGTCATTGCCTAGATTCAAGAGAATGTAATTTAAGCTTGCTGTTATAGCAGTATAAACACATTAACTTAATTTTTTAAAATGTTCTCACAGGGACAGCAAAACCAATCAATGTCACCACTGATTAATAATAATTAAGAGTCTCTGGGCTCTATAATCAAATGGTACTGCCACTTACTAGGTGACCTTAAGTTATTTTACCTGTTTCCTGACATTTCATTTGAGAATTTTATCATAGAGATACTTTGAGGATTAAATGAGGAAAGGCATACAAAGTGTTTAATATTATCAATATTCTTATTAATATTACTGGCTAACATTTGACAATGCCCAAACACAGGTATATTAATCACGGTTTTTTGTTACAAAATTCAATTGTTTTCGAGCTTGTGAAAAGTAAAGGATGGAGTCCTAACTAATAATCAGCTTATTATAAATGCAATATACATATTTAAAGAATGCTGCTACAGTTATTCAAATATCTTTCCCATTTAAAAATCAGTTTTTCACAAAGCTCTTTGTTTTTGCTTAACTCCAAAGCAAATACCAAGAGCTAGATTCCTGAAACCTCAATACTCAGGAGGAATATAAACTGCATCAAATAAGCCACTGTATAGGGATTATGACTGGTAATTGTGGACATGTTCATATTTTCTATGACCCTTAAATAATTTACATTATTAATTCTCAGAAGCTTGGGGCTATGTACAGCAAACAAAGACCAACTAGTGAATAACTACTATTTATAAATTTCATTAAAAAAAAATACTGGGGTGCCTGGGTGGCTCAGTCATTAAGCGTCTGCCTTCGGCTCAGGTCATGAGCTCAAGGTCCTGGGATCGAGCCCCGCATCGGGCTCCCCGATCGGCGGGAAGCCTACTTCTCCCTCTCCCACTCCCCCTGCTTGTGTTCACTCTCTCGCTGTATCTCTCTCAAATAAATAAAATCTTAAAAAAAAAAAAAAAAAAACCATCTGGGGCGCCTGAATGGCTCAGTTGGTTAAGCATATCACTCTTGATTTCAGCTCAGGTTATGATCTCAGGGCTGTGAGCTGGAGCCCGGCATCAGGGCTCCACACTGGGTATGGAGCCTGCATAAGATAATCTCTCCCTGGGCACCTGGGTGGCTCAGTTCTTAAGCCTCTGCCTTTGGCTCAGGTCATGATTCCAGGGTCCTGGGATGGAGCCCCGCACCCAGGTCCCTGTTCAGCAGGGGATGGGGAGGGTCTGCTTTTCCTGCTCCCTCTGACCCCCCACCACTTGTGTTCTCTCTCTTAAATAAATAAATCTTTAAAAAAAAAAAATTCTCTCTCCTCTCCCTCTGCCCCATTTGTGCTCTACTCTCTCTTAAAAAAACTATTTAGGGCACGTGGCTGGCTCAGTCAGCAAATCATGCTACTCTTGATCTGAGGGTTGTAAGTTTGAGTCCCACATTGGGTGTAGATTACTTAAAAAAAAAAAATCTTGGGGCGCCTGGGTGGCTCAGTCTTTGGGCATCTGCCTTTGGCTCAGGTTGTAGTCCCAGGATCCTGGGATCGAGCCCCACGTCGGGCTCCCTGCTCTGCAGGAGGCCTGCTTCTCCTTTCCCACACCCACTGCTTGTGTTCCCTCTCTCGCTGTGTCTCTGTCAAATAAATAAATAAAATCTTTAAATAAAATAAAATAAAATAAAAAAATAAAATCTTTGTGGCTCCTGGGTGGCTCTGTCAGTTAAGCGTCTGCCTTCAGCTCAGGTCATGATCTCAGGGTCCTGGGATTGAGGCCCGCATCAGGCTCTTCACTCAGTGGGGAGCCTGCTTCTCTCTCTCCCTCTGCCTGCTGCTCCCCTGCCTGTGCCCTCTCGCTCCCTCTGTGTCAAATAAATAAATAAGATCTTAAAAAAAAAATCTTAAAAAAAAGAAATTTAAATTTTTTTTGAAAATACCTATTTATTAAACTATTATCTCTACTTCATCTTTTTTTCCCTACTTCATCTTTAAGTTGGTCATCCAAAGTAGTCCAGAAAACCACACAAACAAAGCAGTCATGATCGAGATAGATAGTAGTTAAGAATGTGTGTTGTGGAGGCATATACTTCAGGCGTGAATCCCAGCTCCATCCATTCTAGCTTGGGCAAGTTACCTAACCTTTTTATAGCTCACATCTTTTCTCAGTGTATGAATATTCTTCATATAGGACTGTGTGAGAATTAAATGAGCTAAATATATATATATATATATATATATATATGGCTTAGAACAGTATCCGATATACAGTAAGCTCTATGAAAATACTTGTTATAAAGTTAAGTAATGAATAAATGACTGGTTCAAATAACATACCAAATGCTGTGTCATTTCTACTGCAATAGGAGTAACTTCTTCACTATACTCGCAGATCATTTTCTGAATTACATTGGTAAGATCATCATTTTCTGTTTCTCTTATTATATGAAGAAGAGCCTGCATTACAGGTCTGATGAATGGTGTAATATACTCTTTAGCTGTAAGAAAAAAAGAGAAAAAAAATTTGGCCAAAACCTCCTAAAACCTGATATAAAATACATCAAAAAATAAAAAATAGATACTTTCCCATAAAGGGGAAGACAATGTGTCAAGTTTCTAGGATTATGCCTTGTACAATTATTTGTAAAAACACTACACTATTTTTGAGATATAAATCCTTTACCTTTTTCTTGATTGCTGATCAACACTTGAAGTGCAATGGCAGCTTCCACTTTCACGGGCATTTCCCTATCATCAATCAGACATCTTCGTGTCAGCTCTAAGGCCGTTTGCAGGTTCTGGTCACTTTTGAACTTTACTTCACAAAAATAGTGAAGGACCCAGCAAGCCTTTTATTAAAAAATGCAGTGAGTTACTACAGATATCCTACATTAAATTGCCCCAAGCTAGAGTATATCTATTCCAAAAGTTCTGTGTGTGGGAATTTGGAGGCTGGCCAGTGGTAGGTATGTCCAAAGAGACAACACTAGACCAGTACTATGATCCCAACTTATTCTTTGGCTGCATGACGTTTGTGTGAATAGCAAGATCTGAATGCAAAACACAGACAGACACTGCTATCAGACACAGATGAAAACTATGCACACATTACAACAGCCATTTAAATATTTACATGAAAAAGTCTAAAATGAAATAAGGCTTTTATTAAGATGAGCATTAAAAAGGTTCCACATAAAAGTCCACATAAGCAGTCATTCATTACAGAACATAAATATATAAGTGAATACAGGTTTAAAACATACCCTCGCTCTCATATAGCCTAGTTCACTGCTGAAGAGAGGAAATACATGATTCTGCAACATGTATTCCATCTGATCTTTGTAGATCTTTTTCTGTAAATACAAACAAAAATTATTTTTTGAAAGAATTCCAAATATAATCATCTCAAATGCCAAATAAATACACGAATGTTAAAAATGACTATGTCAAAACATATATTTATTCTGATTCTTTGTACCTCAGGATCCATACCTAATTTTCTCATTCTCAAATTTCACCACCAAAAAATACTGAATTCCTTTTCTTTAATCTTTTTAGCTCATTTGCTTGGAAAGCATTTACACCAAATCTTAATAGCAATCATGTTTGGGTAATGGGAGTGTGGTTAATTTTATTCCTTACCTTATAAAACTATTATAATGAAAAAAAAACTATTATAATGAAAAAAGCCTCACTGGAAAGGTTCTAAATGAATACAACACAGATTGAGAAAAGACCCTGCTTACCAGGTAATAATCTGGTTATCTATAAAGATATTCTTGGGGCACCTGGGTGGCTTAGTCGGTTAGACGTCTGCCTTCAGTTCAGGTCATGATCTCAGGGTCCATGATCTCAGGGTCCGGGGATAGTGCCCTGCCCGTGTTAGGCTCCCTGCTCAGCGGGGAGTTTGCTTCTCCCTCTCTCCCTCCCCACCACCTGTGCTCTTGTGCTCTGGCTCTCTCTCAAATAAATAAAATCTTTAAAAAAGAAAAAATTTTTTAATTAAAAAAATGCCATGGTTGGGGCGCCTGGGTGGCTCAGTCATTAAGCGTCTGCCTTCGGCTCAGGTCATGATCCCAGGGTCCAGGGATCGAGCCCCGCATGGGGCTCCCGGCTCAGCGGGAAACCTGCTTCTCCCTCTCCCACTCCTCTGCTTGTGTTCCCTCTCTCGCTGTGTCTCTCTCTGTCAAATAAATAAATAAAGTCTTAAAAAAAAATAAAATGAAATAATTTAAAAATGCCATGGTCAGGGAAAAAAAAGATATTCCCATGAATCTTAAAGTAGGGTGTTTTCTAAGCTTTTAAAAAGAGTTCCTGGAATTGCATATTACATCAACATTAAAAATAAATGCTTGAAAAACTGAACACAGACATGGGAACGAAATGCAATGTGGGATCCTGGACTGGATCATGGACCATAAAAAAGGACATTAATGGGAAATCTTGCACAATGTGAAAGGGATCTATAAGATCAGTGAATAGTATGCTATCAATATTAATTTCCTGGTTTTGAGAATTGAAGTATGGCTATCTAAGATGCTAACATTAGGAGAAGGTGGATGAAGAATGGAAATTATTTTTGCTATTTTTCTGTAAGTCTAAAATTACTTAAAAATAAAAAGTTAAAACAGAAAAATCTGAACTTGCAAGAGAACTCACTAAAGATTCCCAGCCTGCCATTTAACAAAGAACCACTTTCTTTACTCTATACACAGAAGGATGTGTGGACAGGTATAAAAAACTAAAATATAAATAAAATAACCCTACAAATTAATGGTGATATGTAACAAGGTTCCTGGGGAGTTAGAGGATTCTGTGACTAAATATTTACTTATTAACTTTTAAGCAAAATAAATTTCAGATCTTATTTATGAAGTCAGATACAATGTGTACAATTAAGCTGAGGTTCCTAAAAATAAATCTAATCCAGGGTCATTCTTTATTAGAAATTTATGTCACAAAAGCATGATGTTCCTAGGCTATGAATGGATTCATTCATGTTTATAAATTTCCTTAAAGACAAATTTTTTAAAGGAAAAAACACTACTTTACAATTATCTTGCAACATGAAAATAAAGTAAGTCATGCAAAAGAAGTACCTTAAGCACAAGCAGGAAAAGAAAATATAAACTGGACATAATTTCAGAATCTTATCAAAACTTGTATTTCATAGGACAACATCAAGAAAGTGAAACGGTAACAGACAAAATACTTGCAAATCATATATATGAAAAAGGTCTAATATAATATACAAAGAACTTTTTTTTTTTTAAAGATTTATTTATTTATTTGACAGAGACACACAGCGAGAGAGGGAACACAAGCAGGGAGAGTGGGAGAGGGAGAAGCAGGCTTCCCGCTGAGCAGGGAGCCCGATGCGGGGCTTGATCCCAGGATACTGGGATCATGACCTGAGCTGAAGGCAGCCACTTAACGACTGAGCCACCCAGGTGACCCTAGAATATACAAAGAACTCTTAACAATTCACCAATGAAAGGACAAATAACCCAGCTAAAAAAACAAAGGATTTGAATATACATTTCTCCAAAGAAGATATACAATAGCCAATATACACATTAAAAAAATTTCTCTGTATCATTAGTCATCAGGGAAATGTATATCAAAACCACAATGAGGTATTGTTTGACACCAACTAGGATGGCTACAATAAAAAGGTAATTGTTGGTGAGGACATAGAAACTGGAACCCTCATACATTGCTGGTAAAAATATAAAATGATACAGCCACTTTGGAAAACAGTCTGGCAGTTTCTCAAAATAGGACAGCAATTTGACTCCTAGGTATGTGACCCAAGGGAAGTGAAAATATTATGTCCAGGGGCACCCAGGTGGCTCAGTCGTTAAGCGTCTGCTTTCAGCTCAGGTCATGATCCCAGGGCCCTGGGATCGAACCCTGCATCGGGCTCCCTGCTCGGTGGGAAGCCTGCTTCTCCCTCTCCCACTCCCCCTGCTTGTGTTCCCTCTCTCGCTGTGTCTCTGTCAAATAAATACATAAAATCTTCAAAAAAAAAAATTATGTCTACACAAAGGTGTGTACATAAATTCACAGCTTCAGTAGTCATAATAGCCAAAAAAATGGAAACAATGCAAGTGTACACCAACTGAGGAATGCATAAATAAAATGTGGTATAGCAATACAGTGGAACATTATTCGGCAACAAAAAGGAATGATGTACTGACATGTGCCACAACATGGATGAACTTTGAAAATATTGTGCTAGGGGCGCCTGGGTGGCTCAGTCGTTAAGCGTCTGCCTTCGGCTCAGGTCGTGATCCCAGGGTCCTGGGATCGAGCCCCGCGTCGGGCTCCCTGCTCAGCTGGGAGCCTGCTTCTCCCTCTCCTACTCCCCCCTGCTTGTGTTCCCTCTCTCACTGTGTCTCTCTCTGTCAAATAAATAAAATCTTAAAAAAAAAGTTTTTTTAAAAAGAAAGAAAATATTGTGCTAAGTGAAAAAAGCCACTCCTCAAAGAGCAGATTATATAGCATTTCCTTTACGTGAAATGTCCAAAATGGATAAATCTATAAAGACAAAAAGGAGATTAGGGGTAGCCTAGGGCTGAGAAGTTTGGAAGAAAATGTAAAGTAACTAATAGTTTCTTTTGGGGTTGATGGTTGCACAACTCTGTGATTATAATAAAAACCACTGAATTATTCACTTTAATGAGCAAACAGTATGGTATGTGAACTGTATCTCTCTCTTTTTTTTTAAAAGATTTTTATCCATTCATTTGAGAGAGAGAGAGAGAGCACAAAGAGAGTGAGAGGGAGAAGTAGACTCCCTGTTGAGAAGGAAGCCTGACTCAGCTCGATCCCAGGACCCTGAAATCATGACTTGAGCTAAAGGCAGATGCCCAACTGACTGAGCCCCTAGGCGCCCGCATGAACTGTATCTCAATAAAACTGTTATGAAACTACTTGCACACAAAAGAAGAAATACCTTCAGAAGTATTTCAGCTAAAGAGCCAATCATATGCAGGGCTCCATCTTTTTTTCGAGGATCAGCATTTGGCTCTGTAAGAATCTGGTAGCAAAATCCCATTGTCTTTTGCAGTACCTAGATTTAAAAAAGGAAAGTTAACACTTTATTTGATTTCCTAACAATCCTTAACAACAACAAAAAAGACAAAATGACTTACATGGCTAACATTAAAAGCTGAGTATATATCTGAACAAATTTTAAATATTAAAGCAAAAGTTCTCTATGTTAAATAACCTACCTCTTTCCTCTTGCTACAAGCTGTAAACAAAAGTGTCTGGGCAGCAGTGGTAGGAGAAATAAAATCTTCAAACACATCTAGAGAATAAATTTAAAATTAATACAAAACCCAGCAATTTGAATTTCTTCAACAAACATTTTCACATAATTTACAAATGATGCTCTGTAAAAAGACCTTAAAATTTTGCTGAATGTTCATGCAAGGTATAAAAAGGAACCCAGATTCCTATATAATTTTGCAATAGTCTTTTCAGTACAAATTAAATTTTAATCCATTAATTTCTTTTAATGATCATTTTCTTTCATACAAAACACAACTACTGTGAAAGTTTTCACAATATGGTCACAAAAGTACAATCTACTACAAATACAAAAGATTTTGGTAGGAAGAAGGACTAATACTCAACATTAGTCAAATTACAGTCCTTTAGTTCCATGCAAACTCCATGTGACTCCAGCTTCCAATATAGGTCTTCCCATTTCCCACACATATGATGACTGACATGGGATCCAAAAGTATAGTTTTGACAGTGTTAAGATGTAATCTTGAATTTCTTAGTTTTAGCATGTGCCAAAAAGCACATCCAATAATTGTAACTTAGTAACACTACTATCTGTGTCTGCTAAAAATGAAGATTATCATTATCAAACGCCGTAACTAATGAATAGACCCCAAAAAGTCTAAAAAATGGATAAATTACATTAAAACAAAGATTTTTCAGAACCAAAGGAGAGGCCTTATGACACCCTTATGCATACTATATACAAATGTAGCTACTGACATATTTTGTTTCTAAGAAAGTGAAAATTTACCAAACTTCATGCGTATATATTCATAAGGGTCTTCTTGCCAAAGTTCTTCATCAGCGTCCGTATAGCACATCAATGGAAAAATAACATCTTGGATAATGCCCTGAAATTTAAAAGTTAAGAAAGTAACCTTAAGTCAGTCTTCAAATTTAAACCTTCAATTTGGTTAAGTGCTAAATAACAAAACCAACCCAATACTATGTATTTCAAAGCTTAATATCAAACTTTAGTAATGATTCTAGGATCAACTATTAAGGTACATACTATTAGAGTTTGTGCAACAAGTAATTATAAAATAAGACATATGTGTATATAGGTAGCAATTAAGTATTCTGAGAAAATACATTATGAAATTTTAGTCCATCAAATCCTGTAGTTCTAAATAAAGCAAATAAATTACTCATAGAAATGGTACATAAGCTAATTACCCTACAAACTAATCTGGTGAAATAGTCCTTGGTTTATTCCAAATTACGTGACTAAAATGTTACAACCAAAAGCCAGTACTAAGAATTTAAATGCAAATTTTAAGATAATAGTTTTAGATTAAAAGGTAATCACAAAATACCCTTTACAAGTTTATATCAAGGTATTTTCTCATTTTCCTACTATACTATCAAAACAATTAACTAGACTAAGTAACACAAGTCAACAAAATATGCACTTTTCAACCTTTATGATAATTAATGTTATTTCCATTATATTTTCCGGAAAAACATTTCAGATAGAAAATTATTACTTGTATATGAGGCTTCAGATTCTTCCAGGTGAGGGCATGAGAAACTCCTTGATTAATGTAATTTAATGTCTGTTGTAAAACTCGAGGAGCCATATATTGTTTCTCCTTGTATTGATATAATACCTTCAATAAAACCTTTGAAAAGAATATTTGATCAAAAACCAAAAGTTAAATAGAAATTTTAACCATTTTATAAGTCAGTAAAAACATCTGACACGTATCTTAATACCCAGATCATCATCCTCAAATAACAACCATATTCTCTTAAAAAGAAAGTAATTTTTTAAAATTTTGTATTAGAGAACTGTATTTATTCCCAAGGTATTCAAATAAATAAACTGAATTACTACTATGTCAAAGGAATAGTTTCTGATTAAGTATAAAAAGAAAACCATAGGTTACTTACTTCCCAGCAAAACCTTACCGAACCACTCACCAATTTAATGTCTGCCAGGAGCTGTAAGTCTACATGGTATTTCAGAATAGCAATTGTCAACATTTGGCCCACAGACCTCCTGAAGGGTCTGTGAGGTCAAAACTATTTTCATAAGGCTAAGACATTATTTGCCTTTTTTACTATGTTAACATCTGCATCAATGGTACAAAAGCAGTGGTGGCAAAACTTCTGTTGCCTAACATGAATCAAAAAGTGTCACCCAAGTGTACCAGCAGTCATCATATTCTTTACAGTCACATTAAATTCAAAATAACCTTTCCTTAAGAACACTCTTAATGAATCAAAATATAATTATTATCAAATGGAGAGTATACATGTAGCACTTCTTCTACATACCGAAGTACAATGGTTGGAAGAAAAGCTGAAATAGTAGCTTTTCCCATCAAATGCTATCATATTCTTGAAAGAAGAACTGACAAATTATGGTTATTTAGACTTGTGTGTATGGCATATTTCCCCTCAAAAATGAATAAAATGAGCCTGTCACTTCAAGGAAAATAACTGACAGTATGTTACTGGTGTTAAAATCTGAGCTTCGAAACAAAAATTAGAATTCTCAAACTCTTAGATACAAAAGACTTTGATCCACTTAATTAGCTTTCCAATATTTAACAATATTTCTGATGACATCAGTGGTAATATTAGCAAATGTGATTTCTTTTTTAAAATTGCATAATGAGGGGCGCCTGGGTGGCTCAGTTGGTTAACCCTCCAACTCTTGATTTCCACTCAGGTCATGATCTCAGGGTCATGAGATTGAGCCCCATGGTAAGCTCAGCGCTCAGCGGGTAGTCTGTTTCTCTCCTCCCTCTTCCTCTGCTCCTCCCCCTGCTCATGCATGCTCTCTCTTGCTCTCTCTCTAAAATAAATAAATCTTTAAAAAGATAAAATTGCATAATGAAATGTATTAACATTTGGAAAATCTTCCATTAACTCAATTTTCCAAATGACCAGCCGTTACAAAATCATGTATGGATAAATGATCCATTCAAAGTGTAATATAAATCAACAGGTGTTAATGTAAAAGAATCTAAGATGCTTGCTATTAAAAAACTCTACACTGCAATTAACCTTTAAGAAACTAACAGTATTGAGTGACTCAGTTGGTATTGCATGTGACTTGATATTGGGGTCATGAGTTTGAGCCCCACATTGGGTATGGAGTTTACTAAAAACAAAAACAAAAAAACTATCATTATCATATTTTGATGTGGTATCAAAGAACTTCCACAATTTTGTGAAAAGTCTATTAAAAGTCTTTCCTTTTCCAACTTATCTGAGGCCACACTGTCTGTATTTATGTCCAGCAAAATAAATTAAAAGACTAAATACATAGGTAGATGAGTATATAACTGCCTTTTATTAAGCCATACATTAAAAATTTAGTAAAAATGTTTAACAATGTCCATTTCCTTTTGTTAAAAACGTTTCATTTTGGGAAAGTTATTAAGGAAAAAAAACATGTATTCTGTGTTAATATATTAGGTTTGTTATTTTTAAATGAATTAATACTCTTAAATTTTAATTTCTAATATGATAAATATCATAGGTATAACTCACATAAATGGAAGCTTGCTGAGGTTCTCAAAAATTTAAGGGAGTAAGGAAGACCTAAAACCAAAAAATGAGAACGGCTACAGAGTTCAAAATGGTAAAGACTGGGGCGCCTGGGTGGCTCAGTCATTAAGCGTCTGCCTTCAGCTCAGGTCATGACCCCAGGGTCCTGGGATCGCGCTCCCTGCTCAGCGGGAAGCCTGCTTCTCCCTCTCCCATTCCCCCTGCTTGTGTTCCTGTTCTCGCTGTCTCTTTCTCTGTCAAATAAATAAATAAAATCTTAAAAAAAAAAAAAAAAGTTAAAAATTGCTACATGCAATTTTGGGTACCAATAAATCAGAAAAAAAGACAGAAATTAATCTAATAATAATGTCATGTTTCAATTTAGAAAAATTCTTAGACTTACTTGCTGGACACCAACAGCAAATGCCTTCAGAAATACTTCAGCAAATTCATTATACTCCTTGGAAACATTGCCAGGGCTTCCATATCTAAAAGAACATTAAAATGCCCACTGTTTCTTTATAATGCTTTACATAGTGATACTTATAAAACTAAGAGCATGAAAAAATAAACCTAAATCATCATATATTGAGAGCTTACCTTTCAAAAAGCCTTGCTAAGATATGTAAAGCCCACTTCTTACATTTCCACCATGGTAACTCTGGTCTGTCATCTTCTTCAACTTGAAGTGTTTCCTTTAAAGAGAGATTTATTTAATGATCGTAAGACATAATACACTCTAAGAGGAACAGCATGAGGTGAGAAGAGACTCACAATGAATGTTAGCCTTTTATAATAAAAGGCTAGATTTGGAAAAGTAGTCTTATTTATTAAATATAAGAGGCACTTTCATCTGCTTCACTACTTGGCTACAAAGGATATACTTTTAAAAATTCTTATAGAGCAAGCTCAAACACAAACATTTTAGTCAAAATCCAAATAATATAAAGCCAAGGCCATTGAAAGTAGTTTAATCAAAACCAGTATAGTTCAAATCAATAGGGCATGAAAAACACCATTTCAGAAATCTAGTTTCCGAAATATTAGTATAAACACAAAAGGATAGACAGATGAAGACATTCATTTAAAAACAATAGTGGAAAACTACGAAGACCCTAAACATTCACTGATAAATGGATGCTTAATTATGGAACATCTATAAAAGACTACTATACAATCCACTAAAAGAATGGATTGGATCCTTACATACTGACCTATAACATACCGACATATTTTTTTTTTCATTTATTTGACACAGAGAGCACAAGCAGAGGGAGAGAGGGGGAGAAGCAAGCTCCCTGCTGAGCAAGGATATGGGACTCGATCCCAGGACCCTGGGATCATGACCCAGGCCGAAGGCAGCCGCTTAATCAACTGAGCCACCCAGGCGTCCCCATACCGACATATTTTTGATTTACAATGGGAAAGTGAGACTTTGGAGCAACCCCAAATTAAAACAAAAAGTGACAGCAATGGTACAACACTTTGAAAATCACTTTAGAAGTTACTGATAAAGTTAAACATATACCTACCCTATGACCCAATTCCACTCTTTGGTAATTTACTCAAGAAAAATGAAAATATATGATCACAAAAAGATTTGTATAAGAACATTCATAGCAGCTTTATTTGTACTACTAAAATCCTGAAACCACCCAGCTGTCCATCAACTTGTGAATGGATAAATTGTATATCCAGACAATAAAATATTACTTGGTAATAAAAAGGAACAAACTACTATAACACAACATGAAGACATAAGGAACAGACTACTATAACACGACATGAATTATATCTCATAAATATATCATGCAAAAGAAGGTAAATATAAAAAATTACTTTTATATTAAGTTCTAGAACAGGCAAAACTAATCTATGGTCCTAGAAACTAGAATGGTGATGATAGGAATGACTAAAACTAGCCACCAGCAAATATTCTAGGTGATGATTACATGGATACATATAACTGATAACTCACTGGACTGTTTGTTTATAATACGTGTTTATAAATTACACCCAAAAAGTACAGTGTATAAATGAAAACTTTTAAAATTTTATTCTGTATTTATTAAATGTGTCCAGAAAAATATACACCAAACTTCCATACAGAGTGGAAGAAACGTTCTATTCTTCTACACTGTTTTTGTTTTGTGTTTTTACAGCAGGCTCCACACCCAGTGCAGAGCCCAACATTGGGCTTGAATTCACAACCCTGTGAGATCAAGAACTGAGCCAAGATCAAGGGTCAGACATTCAACCGAGCCACCCAGGCACCTCTACACTGTTTTTTCTTTTAAATAGAAATGTAGCAATAAACCACAAAAGAGGAGGTTGTTCTCAGTTATGCCACTAATAAAATTGTTTTAGATAAATTATATAACCCTTCTATGTCTCCATTTAAAATAAATTCAGAGGGGGGGTGCCTGGGTGGTGGCTCAGTTGGTTAAACGCCTGCCTTTGGCTCTGTTCATGATCCCAGGGTCCTGGGATCAAGTCCAGCATCGGGCACCCTGGTCAGTGGCGAGTCTGCTTCTCCCTCTGCTCCTCCCCCTCCCCCTGCTCCTGCTCTCTCTCTCTCATGCGCGTGCACACCTGTGCATTCTCTCTCAAATAAAATAAAATCTTTAAAAAATAATAAAATAAAATAAATTCAGAGGGGATGGGGGAAACAAAAAATAAATTCAGAGGGATTTTTTTGAGGATTAAATAAGGAATGTTAAAGCACTTAAAACACATTATGTATTCAGGACTTATAAATTCCCCTACCTCTCTAGAAAACTAGATTATAAAGAAAAATTGCAGTTACTTTAAAAATTGTGACTAGGGGCGCCTGGGTGGCTCAGTAGTTAAGTGTCTACCTTCAGCTCAGGTCATAATCCCAGGGCCCTGGGATCGAGCCCCGCATCAGGCTTCCTGTCTGCGGGAAGCCTGCTTCTCCCTCTCCCATTCCCCCTGCTTGTGTTCCCTCTCTCGTTGTGTCTCTCTCTGTCAAATAAATAAATAAAATCTTAAAAAAAAAAAAGTAACCATAATTATAAAAAATAAATAAAATAAAAATTGTGACTAAATTGGGCACCTGGGCGGCTCAGTTGGGTGTCTGCATTCGGCTAGGGTCATGATCCCAGGGTCCTGAGATTGAGCCCTGTGTCAGGCTTTCTGCTCAGCGGGGAGCCTGCTTCTCCCTCTCCCTCTGCCTGCCACTACCCCTGCTTGGGCACTCTCTGTCAAATAAATAAACAAAATCTTTAAAAAAAAAGAATTCTCATCATGGGGCACGTAGGTGACTGAGTCGGTTAAGCTTCCAACTCTTGGTTTCGGCTCAGGTCACAATCTCAGGGTCCTGGGATAGAGCCCTGCATGCGCCTCCATGCTCAGGGAGCAGTCTGAGATTGTCTCCTTCTCTCCTGCCCCTCCCCCAGCTCGTCCACACACCTTCTTTCTCTTTCTCTAAATTAAATAAATAAATCTTCAAAAAAATTTCTCATCATAAGAAAAGAATTTTGTAACTATGTGAGGTGATATGTTACCAACTCTTAATTAAAAACTGAGAAGAGGGCGCCTGGGTGGCTCAGTTGTTAAGCGTCTGCCTTTGGCTCAGGTCGTGATCACAGGGTCCTGGGATCGAGTCCCACATCGGGCTCCCTGCTCAGTGGGAAGCCTGCTTCTCCCCCTCCCACTCCCCCTGCTTGTGTTCCTGCTCTGTCTCTCTCTGTCAAATAAATAAATAAAATATTAAAAAAAAATAAAAACTGAGAAGATAAGATGGGGTGCCTGACTGGCTCAGCTGGAAAAGCATGTGACTCTTGATCTCAGGGTCATGAGTTTGAGCCCCATGCTATGTGTAGAGATTACTTAAATAAATGAAACTTATAAAAAAAATTTTTTTATAGGGATGCCTGGGTGGCTAAGATGGTTAAGTTTCTGTCTTTGGCTCAGGTCATGATCTCAGGGTCCTGGGATCAAGCCCCACATCAGGCTCCCTGCTCCGTGGGAAAACTGCTTCTCCCTCTCCCACTCCCCTGCTTGTGTTCCCTCTCTCGCAGTCTGTCAAAAAATAAATAAAATCTTTAAAAAAAAATTTTTTTTTTTAAATAAAGGGGCTCCTGGGTGGCTCAGTTGGTTGAGTGTCTGCCTTTGGCTCAGGTCATGATCTCAGGCCCTGTGCAGGGCTCCTTGCTCACTGGGGAGTCTGCTTCTCCCACTGCCCCGCTCATGTGCTCTCTCTCTCTCAAATAAAAAAAATCTTTATAGGGACGCCTGGGTGGCTCAGTCGGTTAAGCGTCTGCCTTTGACTCGTCATGATCCCAGTCCTGGGATCAAGTTCCGCATCAGGCTCGTTGCTCAGCAGGGAGCCTGCTTCTCCCTCTACCTGTCGCTCCCCCCTGCTTGTGCTCTCTGACAAATGAATAAATAAAATCTTTTTAAAAAATATTTATAGATTAATAAAAAACTGAGAAGAAACAGAAGCATTAGGATAAAGAGATAGATATAAGTACCTAAACAATAGTATAGAAATAACCCTGCACAGTTTTTTATTAGTATTGCACTTATGTAAACAAACAGAATGGTCTCTTTATCTAGAATAATTTGCATCATGAATTATATAAACTCATAAAAATGTTACAGAAATATCAGTTAAAATTCTCAAAAGATAATTAGATATTTTAGTAATACAAGAACACACAGAGACTTACATTAGGTACATCTCTGTTCACAACAGTCTTTAAAATTTCTATCCATTCTGTCAGGTTCTGTTGGTTTATCAGCTCCAGTGGTAGTGTATACTAAACGAAAATCAAGAATCAATACTTTAAAATCCTTACAAAAGAAAATCCCACTTCCTTTAATTCTTCACAAAACCTACAAAAAGTATTTCATTCAACCCAGATTTCCGGTTTTTAGCACAGAAGCAAATTTCTTATCTGGTTGATTTGGTCAGTTATCTACAATGGAGAATTGTGGCACTGACAGTGAACATCCTTGTCTTATTCCCAAATTACTGGGAATGTATCTTATTTTTACTGTAAGAGTGATACTGTGCATTTCTAGTGGACATCTTTTATCAAGTGAAGAAAATTTCTATTGCAAGACTCTTTGTTTTTTGTTTTTTAAAGTGGGAATGGTTATTAAATTTTATCAAATACTTTATCTGGCATCCTTAGAGATGGTTACAGGTCCTTTTTTTCATATAAGAGTTAATCACAGAAACTGATCTCTTACCATTGATCCAACTCTTGCATTCCTTGGATAAATCCTCTCAATAGGCTCATAAAATCAATATCCTATTCAGGATTTTAGGATATCTATTTTCACAAGTGAGACAGGGTTATATTTGAAATCAGGGTATGTTAGCGTCAAAAAATTAGTTGGGAAATTAAATATTTTGCCCTATGCCCTAGAACAATTTACAAAAATAATCTTAATCTAAGTTACAATCTTACCAATTAGAAAACAAAAACAGTATAGATATTGTATACCCAAATCACTTTTAAAAATTCTTTAAGAAGACGACAATGGAATGGCATTAAAGTGCCCTTTGGTTAAGACTGGGAGATAATAGATTGTCTTTACTAATCTAGCAAAGACACGCAAAATCCAACCAAACAATATGGTGAGTCAGTTGCAATCTTATTGGAAGTTACAGGTCTATTTAAATGAAATTTTAAAGTTAAGGGTATGAATTGAACCAAAGATTCTAGTAGACAAGATGAATCCTTCTACGGCTACATGGCACAAAAAGAACTAGAATTTTAATCCTGATCAAAAATGGTTTCATATAAGTAATTACGTCCCACTAAGAAAATACAATCATTTCCTTAGTGGGTATCTTTTATCCCAGGAAGATTTAGCATATGTAAAAAGGATGAAGCCCACTGTGTGCCAGTCAAGCCACAGTATTAGTATTTTTCTCTTAAACTTAGGAATAGGTTTTGTTAATTACTGGTACAATCTACGTGTATTTGGTACATCGGGTTCACGCTCTTCATGCTAGATATAAACTGTAATTTCAGTTAACCGATTTTCAGACTCGTGAATTCTTAAGGTGAAAGGCATAAAAAATTTTTACTAATTTTGTGAATAGTGTCAGATGGGTTAAGAGAACTTAAGATTGACCAGTTATAATTTAAGATTTATTGGAATTGTTTGTGTATTTAGGGAAGTGTGCTTGGTTAGACTTTTAATGCACATACAATTTTGGCAATTAATATTTGACTATCAGATCATCCATTTAATCCAGATTTTTAAATGAAATTATTATTAAAACACAGAAATTCTTTATCTTCTAATGTAGCAAATGATAGACTTTTATATATAAAAACTGCTTTATAAAATTACCTGAACAAGAGCATAGAAGATCTTGAAAATCTGTTTCTGAATGAGGACAGATTGATCAGATTGATCAGAAAGAAGCTGGATAAAACGGTCCTTTAGAACTGGCAGGAAATGCTGCATTGCTGCTACCAGTGGACTCCGTTCCTCTGGTTTCTTGTACCTTTGGGTAGGAATACAAACTAATTCTGTAAGAATTTACTTCATAATTAATTATACGTACGAGATACAAAATTAAACTGCTTGTTTGTTCACACAAATATAAGCAAATACTTCCTAAGCAACTTTAGATTCCTAGAAAGAAAAAGAAAAACCAATAATGGAACCAAATCACAAACAAAAGCAACTTGAGAAAAACCCCAATAATAAAATATCTAAAATTTTCTGAGCATTCATTATGAAGTCAATAATCCCTAAGGCTCCATTAGTATCCTCACTTCAATAGTTTGAGGAAACTGAGGCACAGAGAAGAATCTTTCCCAGCATACTCATCTAGGTATGAACTTATCAGTCAAGATCCAAGGTCTGCCCTCTTAACCACTTCACAACAGTCTCTAACTGTGAATTACTTATACAATTTAGGAGCTACAATGACTTGGCCTTTAAATATTAGCAGCTGATTGATATAAAATTGATTATATATTACCACCCTTATTTATATACCAAAAGCATTAAGGCAGAAGTGGCATCAAGAAAGCAGAAAATAAGCAATTTATAAACAGGAAGTTCTTTTGTAACCTATTTGCCAACAAAACCTGACTTCAACAGGCTACTTATGGTCTTCACTTATCCCATCTGGAGTGGATATTCACATATTTTATAGCAAATATGATAATACGTATCTGACTACTGGGTGCTGGTTCAATTTCAACAGGTGTTTAACATGTATTATGTGAACCTTGTTATCTTTCTAAAATCCAAAAAATCTTGAACTCTGAATCACATTTGCTCCAAGGATGTGGGTAAAGAATTGCTGACCTAAATGAGAATTCCACATACAGATTTCTTAGCATTTTAACAATATTATTTAAAGAGGCCTGTTGATTTACTTTAATTAAACTGTACTTCAATTTAAAAAACACTAGGTCATCTATGCTTCAATGAAAAAAAACTTTAAACACTGAATTAGCAGATTAGAACTATAGGGGGATGCCTCGGTGGCTCAGTTGGTTAAGCGTGTGCCTTTGGCTCAGGTCAGGATCTCCAGGTCCTGGGATGGAGCCTGGGACCCCACTTCCTGCTCAGCAGGGAGTCTGCTTCTCACTCTCTCCCCCATCCCCATCATCATTCTCTCTCCCAAATAAATAAATAAAATCTTTAAAAAAAGAAAAAGAACTATAGGAATGACATCCCACCTTCCATCATTAAGCAGTCAAAGGCAGAATAGCTTTACAAAATACAGACTAGTGGTTAAGTCATTACTCTAAAAAACACAATTTATCTTGTTAGATTAAACTGCTTTTTAATTGGTTTTTCCTACCAGATTCCAGTTTTATCTACTGGCAGCCTCCTTGAAGGAAGAAAATATATTTAAGAACTGAGTATCTGAGCACATTTTTAAAAGGTAAAGGTAAGGGGTGCCTGGATGGCTCAGTCGGTTAAGCGTCTGACTCTTGATTTCAGCTTGGGTCATGATCTGACTTCTGAGATCAAGCCCCAAGTCGGGCTCTGCACTCAGCAGGAGTCCGCTTGAGATTCTCTCTCTCTTCCTCTACCCCTCCCCCCGCTCACACACACACTCTCTCTCTCGGAAATAAATAAATAAAATCTTACAAAAAAAAAAAAAGTAAAGGTAAAAAGGCTAGATTCTTTTTCCCTATCAGATGAAATTAGAACCGAATTACCAAGAATAGAAAACACCAAGACAGATGTTCTAATAATGATTGAGACTATTAAACAATTAGCTGACAGATTATTTTAAACACTGTTTTAATGTGCTGAGAAATTATACCTAGCATACATTTTAAAACATCTGTACAGTTCTTTCAGTCAGTAAAAACACTTAACAATTTATGAAAGGAAGCCATTTGCAGTCTCCAATCTGATAATATAAACTACAGTGATTATAGACGATATTTCCTTTTAATAATAAAGGTAGGAAAAAAAAAAAAGAATAAAGGTAGTTACCCAACCCAGATGAACACCCACATTAAGAGGGTTTGAGTACCCATTCCATATCATACATTCTTCTTTCCTCCTTCCCTCTGTACATTCAGGAGAGGACTAGAAATAAGGTGGTACCAGCTGCTAATCTATGCTAATTGGTATATGAAAGTAATTATGGTAGGAAACAAATTATTAACCAATAAGACCTGAAAGTTCCTGAAAGCATGAAAATGTGACACTAATAAAAGCGGACTACCACAAGGCTAAATGTGCCAATCTGGTGAGCCATGCTCATAGGAAATCCTAGCCCATCACTTTACTGTTAAAAAAACAAAATTTTTTTCAATGGTATATTAACATCTAAAAGGTTACATCCAAATTCTCCATCATGGCATTCAAAACCCTCTTTAACATGGTCCCAATTTACCAGTTCAAATTTATCCCCCACCTCTAAACAGAAATTATCCATACCATTTAGTGGTCTCCTCACTACCCACTAAAGACAGTATCTCATTTCCACCTCTGTACCTTTCTTTGTTCATACTACTCCGTATGGTGTGACATGCCTTCCTCTTCAAATGCTCCTTCTGTGCTCCTTCAACTGACAAGCATTTCCTGAGGATCTATGCTCCTGAAGACCACCACAACTTCCAATTTCTCCATGAATATTCTTAGAACTGCTTCAGTCCACACAGATCCCTTGTGAACACCTTGTGCTCCACAATCGAACACTGGCTGAAAATGAACTGGAATTCCAATACTGTAGCAGCCTCCTATGTCTCCCATTTAAAAAATCTCTGTCACACTCTCTCCTGCTAAGATTATAGGACAGGAGAGACTTAACCTCCTCAATGACAATAACAGCTTATTATTGTTATTCTCTCTCATTTTAGTCACTCACTTACCAGAACTACAACAACTGGCACTCTGATAGAAGTTGGAGCAACAGCTGGAACATTCCTTAGCAGGAAGATGGGTAGCTGGTGGGAACACAAGAAAACACCAGTACCAATGCTGTAAATGGTATATTTCTCTCCTGCTCAGAAGAAAAGCAGCAGTTCATCAGCTACTTTGAGTTGGGACCCAAAAACGGTATCGGAGGCTAACTACAGGCCCCAGAATTAGAGGGCTCACAATGGCATCCGTGCAGCTGTCAGGACTGGAAATAAAGCCACCATCATGGTGTAAGTGTTCCTCATGCCTTCCTCAAAATTTTCTGTTACCAAACTTTCAAGTGCCTACAAATTTCATTACTTTCACTACACACTTGAGATAATCCCTTCAACGTATGGCTTACCACTCCTGAAATGCTATACCTCAACTTCCAAGGTTAGATCTTTTTTCTCATCCCTAAACCCAGATCTAAAATGATCCCTTGGCCTAAAATCTTTCTTAATGATACTGATTACATACATGAACTATAATTTGCTCAAATATGCAAACACTGAAACAGGTGACTGTGAATCCCTCAGAACACAATGATTAAAAATGATATGAAATTCCGACATATCCTTCTTAAAGAATTACAGGTAGGTTCTCGAAACTTATCAAGACCCCAAATTAAGATAAAAAATCCAGGGCACTGGGTGGCTCAGTTGGTTAAGCGACTGCCTTTGGCTCAGGTCACGATCCCGGAGTCCTGGGATCCGGCTCAGTGCTTCTCCCTCTGACCCTCTCCCCTCTCATGCTATTTCTCTCTCTCTCTCTCAAATAAATAAAAAAAATCTTACTTAAAAAAAAAAGACAAAAAATTCACAGAAAGCCAGAAGTTAAATAAAGAGCTCTAATGCTCAAAGTACTCTGATACCCTTCACATTTTAAAAAAGCTTATGTTTAGGCCTTTTATCAACACAAATTGAGAAGCCCATATTGAAGAATTAGAGATAACCCAGTTTTTGAATAGGGAAACAGGTAATACGAAAAAAGGGCACAACGAGTTTCTCAGTTGAATCAACAAAAGTGACTGAAGAATTAAAATAAGAATGCTAATTTTAAAAAGAAAATACTAAATTAAAATCAACATATAATCACTAATTTTTATATACCAAATGTAATTTTAGATGTTCAAACAAAATACCTTATAATTTCCAAACTTTTCCTACTTCTCAAATCTCTGTAGGAATTGAGAGACACTTACTCATAATTTTTCACAAGCTGATAAAGGCAAAGAAGAATTCCTAGCCAACAAGCACTGTTATCAGACTGAAGATAAAAGCCAATTTTGTCCACAATGGCAGTCCAGCGGCTTGGATAATCATGTTTGATGATATGGTGAATGCATGTAGTAAGCTGTACCCTGAAAGTCAAAAATAAACAATAAGGAAGAAGAAATGCTACCTAGATAAAATTCTGCTCATACAAAGAAAATGGCTGCTTAGACAAAAATAAATGTAACTGAGGAAAAAACTACCCGTTCCTACTGATTTAAAAGAAACCCAACAAATGTTACAAATGTAGGTGATTTTATTTTTCCTTATTTTTCATCCCTATCATCAACTGATGAGTTTCATTTAAAACCCAGCTATTTTCATTAAAAATTCTGCAAAATCAGGGGCGCCTGGGTGGCTCAGTCGGTTACACATCTGACTCTTGATTGATTTTGGGTCAGGTTGTAATCTCGGGGTTGTGAGATCAAGCCCTACATCAGGCTCACGTTCAGTACAGAGTCTGCTTGTCCCTCTCTCCCCCTCTGCCTCTCTGCTATCTAAAATAAATACAATCTTTAAAAAAAAATTCTATAAAACCATATAAGAACTTTTAAATATCAAGACCATATAATATAAAGTATATGACAGCATTCTATAGTTTTCTTTACCCCCTCTCATCTGATCACAATGTTTCATTAATTTTACGTGAAGTTTAGAAGTTTTTAGTTTTTATAAATATAAAAACTACATTAAGAAAATAAAAAATGACAGGTTTTTATGTTCTGAAAAGATCCACTGTGCTGTGCCCTCCCAAACTCCACAAATTATGTACCTGAAACAATGGGTAAGTTTTAAAATATACATATACCTGATGAGCTCAGGAGAGTGGATAATAGCTTCTACAATATTTTCTCGAATACAATGTCGATCTTCTTCTGGAATAGTATAAGGGGATATATCCCCTGGTGCTGTTTCTCGATCAGGCCAATACTGTGTTATCATATTTTTCAAATAGATAACACCTAAAATGTAGATCAATTTGACAAAAGAGTATTTACTGTGAAAGTACTGTGAATCCCCCTTATAAGTGTCCACACCTCCATTTAAAATACTGCACATTCTTTTATTTTCAAAGTTGATAATCAAAACACAGTCTAATTCTTAGCTACAATAATCACCCCTGAAGTTATTATTAAACAGATAGCCTAAGAAACTCTACAAATAAACACACTATACAACAAAACTATTAAGACTTTTTACATCACATTTATACTTTTTATCCTGCTTTCTGTTGGAAAGCTATCTGGATTAATTTTACCATTATCAATTTTCCAAATGAAGCCTCTAAAGACAAAACCACATACACGTACCATACTGCTCTCACAATTAATAACACTACTACAGACTGAATATTTGTAGCCCCCTCAAATTCATATTGAAATCCAAACCCCCCAGTTGTGGTATTAGGGGTGAGGTCTTTCGTAGGCAATTAATGCCTTTATAGGAGAGACCCTGGAGAGGTTCCTCCCCTCCGAACATGTTGGGTTCTAAGAACCAGAAAGCGGGTCCTCATCAGACACCAAATCTGCTGCTCCTTGATTTTGGACTTTTCAGCCTCCAGAACTGTGAGGAATATATTTCTATCATTCAGCCTATGATATTCTGTTATAGGAGCCCCAACTGACTAAGACACACAAAAGCTGTTATTTTTATCATAGAAAAATTACAGCATAAAAATTTTCAGTCTACAAATTTAAGTATTTCACTAATATACCATAATCACACCACTTCAAATTCATGTTATTTTATGGGAGAATGTACTGTATTCAAAAATTACAGAATACTATTTTCTGTTAGCTACCACACTGCTATCTTAAACACTGCTATTTAACACAGTATGAACTAGATTGCTAACAATGCTTTTTATCCAGTCCTCTACCTCCCAATGAGAAAGAGAACCCTCAATCAAAAATGTGTATGATGGGGGCGCCTGGGTGGCTCAGTCATTAAGCGTCTGCCTCCGGCTCAGGTCATGGTCCCGGGGTCCTGGGATCGAGCCCCGCATCGGGCTCCCTGCTCCGCGGGAAGCCTGCTTCTCCCTCTCCCACTCCCCCTGCTTGTATTCCCTCTCTCGCTGTGTCTCTCTCTGTCAAATAAATAAAAAAATCTTTAAAATAAATAAATAAATAAATAAATAAATAAAGTGAGTAAAGAATGATAACAAAACCCAAAATATTTAAAAAAAAAATGTGTATGATGTATAGGAAATGGAAATTATTCATAATTAATCAATTACTAAATTCTACAAAACACCAGCCCTTCTCTGACTAGTAATTAACTCTTACCTGGAGTATTACACCTATTTGAATAAGGATAACTGATATATCTATGATTTTTATATTCTACTTTGCTCTATCTTGGGAATTAAAATAATACTCCACCTTATAGTATTTCAAAAAAGATTGACTACACATTAAAATACCCTTGAACAAAAGTTTTAAGACAAACTACCTCTACAGTAAAGAACACTGACTCAGTATATGTAACATATTTTAGATTAGTACCATTTCCAGAATTTTGATTCTTTAGCTCCAAAACAGAACACATTAAAATTAAGAATTGATACAGCCCTATCTTCGGCATAGAGCCTCTGAGTATTTCTTTCTATCGTAATGCATAAAAGAATGGGCATATATATTTATTTGTATCATTATGATTCGGTATTTTAAGTTGTTTGGTCTACAAAACATTAAGTGAGAACTGCACTGTAAGTATATTGTGATTTATAGCCTATTCCATCCAGGATATTTGGACTCTGCTACAAAGACCGAATGCATCTCTCTAGTCTAGCAGACGAAATCACCATATGCCCTACACTAAACAGTATCATTCAATTATTAAAAGAGTGTAATTATTAAAGTAATGATTAGATTTTAAAATTTTTGACTAATTCCAGTTTAGCTGCTTATGGTTTTGCACATACTAACTATAAAACTTTCTAGTACAATTTAATTTTGCTAATGCACATAATCAAGTCTCAAAATGTTAAGGTTCCTCCTAAATGCCACTTTCAACACCTTAGTAAAAATTTGAGATTTAAAGGCAAAGATCCTTTTATTAGTTTCAGAAGTAGAATCTAGTGGCTCATCAGTTGTAACACCCAGTGCTCATTACTTACATCAAGTGCTCTCCTTAATGCCCATCACCCAATTATCCCTTCCCCCCACGCTCCTCCCTCCAGCAACCCTGAGTTTGTTCCTAGAGTTCAGTGTCTCTTATGGTTTGCCTCCCTCTCAATTTTCATCTCATTTTTCCTTCCCTTCCTCAATGTTCATGTCTTGTTTTTTAAATTCCACATATGAAATCATATGGGGTATTTGTCTGAGACAAAGATTCTTATCTACAAAATAACCAAAGGGGAAAATGCCAACTTCATTAGTAAAAGAGAAATGACAGTTAAATAATAAAAGCAACTTTTTCCTATTTAATTAGAAATAAAAAAAAGATTTACTGCTGATCAGGGTCCAGTGAAATTACTATATTTTATAGGCCCAAAAAATGTTCCACTATTGTGCTACTTATATACCAGTATTTTAAAAAATAATAAACTTACACGCATTCATTTATTTACTGAGTACGTTTGGTATGTCAGGCAATATTTTAGATACTGTGTACAACTGTTAATGAAACAAATCTAAGATTAAATGCTAACAATTGAGAAATGGTTCACTTCATATGGCACATTATGGTAAATTATTTAGTCACTGAAATAAATTTTAAGACTAACACTATGTAAAGAAAGGGATGAGCTTACTATACATTAAATGAAGCAAAAAAAGTTTTAACAAAATTGATGTAGGGAAAAAGAACAGCAAGAAATAATACCAGAACATAACTGGTTTTTCTAGAATGGTGAAATTATTACTTTATATTTCCTATAACAAAATTAATACACCTGCAAATAAATTAACAGGACACTAAAGATGTGAATTCCATTATTTTGCAAAACAACAGATAGTATCAGAAGTAACCCACCACATTTTCACAGACCATTTGGTACTGAGAATTGCTCAGTATCTTGTTGAAACTGGAACTAAGAAATACAGCAGTCCCCCCCTTATGCACAGTTTCACTTTCTGTGATTGCAGTTACCCGTGGTGATCCACTGTCAGGAAGCAGATCATTTTTTTCTGACATATTATCAGAAGGTCAATAGTAGCCTAGCACCATGTCAAAATGCCTACATCATTTACCTCACCTCATCTCATTACACAGGCATTTGATCTTTACACATCATCATCACAAGGGTGAGTACAGTAAAATAAGATATTTTAAGAGAGAGACCACATTCACATACCTCTTATTACAGTATATTGTTATCATTGTTCTAATTTATTATTAATTATTGTGGCTAAACTCTTACTTGCCTAATTTACAAATTACATTTTATCATAAGCATGTATGTATAGGAAAAAATGTAATATATATAGCACTGGTACTATGCACAGTTTCAGGCATCCAATGAGGGTCTGGGGTCTTAAAATGTATCAATCATGGATGGGGGGGGGCTACTGTAGTACTTTTTAATGGCTAAAAACAGTAAACGCACAAGCTGTAAGAAGCAACTGCATAATAAACAAAGGTGTTTGTATCTTAGGACCATCCACTGGGCAGGGAAACGGAATACACAGAATCTTTTAATAAACCCTATCAATTTCTTTTTTCAGCTTCTCTTTTAACTCAATGAAATACCACATTCCTTTAACTCTGCCACCAATACCAAGGCACTAGCTGTTTGTGGTAAACACATGAGGGCAAACGGATTTTCAGGGAAGAAAATCACTGAAGGGCCACCCCCAACATACCTCTGCTATTCAACTATGAACCTTTTAAATAACTGATTTACATAAACCCAAGAAAATAATTCAGTAACTTGCCTGCCTGTCTCACAGGTAAATCCAGTTGTTCCGACATAGTAATCTGAAGCAGTGTTGAAACAAAATTCAGAGACTTGTGTGCCTACAAACAAAGAAAATAGGTTTTAAATTTCTGCAAATATTCTCAGTACTCTAATCCAGTATTGGACTGGCACAAAAGGCTACCCACCCGCAAGTTGGTCCCAGCCTTATTGCCCATAACTCACAAAAAATGAACTAAAAAAAATATATAATAACCTAACTCCTAAAATATTCTGGATGTTTGCATTTGCCTTCATACTGCTCCACTTCCCATTTATCCTAACTGGCTTTCTTAACCTACACCAACAGCTCAAGAACAATATCCTCTTTAATACCTATTTCCCCAATTCAGTAATAATTTCTCCATAGAGATGTTCTACTGAGTGACTAGACAAACTGAATCAGTAAAAATTAATAGCCTGGGGAGTGTCTTCCAAGGTGCTAATAAATGTTTTATTTCTGAATATGGCAATTTTAAGAAAGTGTGTTCAGTTTGTGAAAATTAATCAACTGTACCCTTACAATGACTATTCTGTATGCATGTTACATTTAGATAGAAAATTAATAATCAATAGTTTTGAACATACAAATGTAGGATATAAACCATATGATGTTAATTTAATAAATACATTTATATGAAATTCCAAGGCAGCGTATACGGAAAATAAGGAAATATACCCAAAATGTTAATACAGATCTCTCTCAGGCGATGGCATTATAAAGGAGCTATTCTTCACACATTTTCTTTTTTTCCAGTTTATACTACAGACCCTGGACACTTTCATTAATAGTATAAAAAAGTTAATGATTCCTTAATGAATCCTAATTTGTCATATTTGCTTCTGGTTTTAAAAAAAGAACTAAACATTCAAGTTATATTCCTTCTTTAATGTTTTCACAGTTGCATTCCCTCTCCCCCAATATAACTACCACCTATGTCATCTCTTCCTTTCAAGTTTTAGTATTTTTTCTGCACATGTTCACATGAACAATAGTAATTTTTATTTTAGTTTCCTCTTTATTCCCCCCCCCACAAATATTCCATATATTCTTAGAAACAGAAAAATTTCCCTTTGGATATAAAAAATTGTTTCTATGTCAGAACCTGGAATTGTCACTCCAATAATTGTTTATTTAAATGTTCCTGGTACATGACACCATGCCAGGAGTTGAGAATACAAGTTTGAAACAAAACATGAAGGTTCCATGACCTCATGGAAACTTAAGAGTTTAATGTGAAGGATAGCAAAGATAATCAAACAAGTAATTACAATAAAGTACAGCAGAAAACATAGAAACACTATGGGAGAATCAAAAGGAGAAATCTTCCAACCTAGAAGTAACACTTAAATTTAAGACCTGAACGGGAGGAGCGCCTGGGTGGCTCAGTGAGTTAAGCGTCTGCCCTTGGCTCAGATCATGAAACCCAGGGTCCTGCTCTGCGGGAAGCCTGCTTCTCCCTCTCCCACTCTCCCTCCTTGTGTTCCTTCTCTCACTGTCTCTCCCTGTCAAATAAATAAATAAAATCTTAAAAAAAAAAAAAAAAAGACCTGAATGGGAGTAGTTAAGTGGATGAAAGACAGGTATTTGCCCTTTCTGGTACTCTAAACACCATTAACCACTATAACTTTCTTGAAACATCCTTCCAACTATGCAATTCACAGACCACTTTTCCTTCTCGGATTCCTCTGTTGGTTTCTTAAACTATTTAAACTATAACTGCTCAGTCATAGGCCATCTTTTACACTCCCCAGCTGATTTCATCTAACCATGGTCTTTAAATACTATTCGTCAGATATATTATTTCCAGACCTATTTTTAACATCCCTACCTTCACAGGCTTCTTAAATTTATCATGTTCAAAGCATCTTCTCCCCTAAAAGCTGTGTTTCTACTTTCTTGTACCAATTCTCCCCACCTTTTTCATCACTATCCTCAGTTACTTATGTCTAATACCTGAATGACATCTTTAATACTTCCCTTTTTAATCCCAATTCATCATGTCAGGACCTGTCAATTCTATATCTAAAATACTTACATAATTAATATACCCACTTTCTCGATTCCCACTAACATCAACCTGTCCAAATGACTATCATCTTTATCTTAATGTAAGAAACGCCCCACCATTCTCCATTTAGCAGACAAAGGTTTTTAAAATTGTAAACCAGGGGCGCCTGGGTGGCTCAGTTGTTAAGCATCTGCCTTTGGCTCAGGTCATGATCCCAGGGTCCTGGGATCGAGCCGCGCATCGGGCTCCCTGCTCGGCGGGAGGCCTGCTTTTCCCTCTCCCACTCCCCCTGCTTGTGTTCCCTCCCTCGCTGTCAAATAAATAAATAAATAAATAAAATCTTTAATAAATAAATAAATAAATAAAACTGTAAACCAATACCTTTAAAAAAAAACTTTTAACAGCTTTTTTAAGATTTTATTTGTCACAGAGAGAGAGAGAACACAAAGCAGGGGGAGTGACAAAGCGGCGGCGGGGGGCGGGGGGGGCAACAGGCAGAGAGAGAAGCAGGCTCCCCACTGAGTCCAGGACCCTGGCATCACGACCTGAGCTGAAGGCAGATGGGTAACTGACTGAGCCACCCAGGCATCCCAATAGATTTCTACTCTACTTCCCAAAGGCTATATAAGGGTCTGTATTATCTTGCCCCTACCATTTCATCAGTCCCTCTTTTTTTTAATTTTACTTTATTATGTTAATCATCATACATTACATCATTAGTTTTTGATGTAGTGTTCCATGATTCATTGTTTGTGTATAACACCCAGTGCTCTATTCAATACGTGCCCTCTTTAATACACATCACCAGGCTAACCATCCCCCACCCCCTCCCCTCTAGAACCCTCAGTTTGTTTTTCAGAGTCCATAGTCTCTTATGGTTCATCTCCCCCTCCGATTTTCCCCCCCTTCATTTTTCCCTTCCTACTATCTTCTTTTTTTAACATATAATGTATTATTTGTTTCAGAGGTACAGGTCTGTGATTCAACAGTCTTGCACAATTCACAGCGCTCACCATAGCACATACCCTCCCCAATGTCTTATCACCCAGCCACCCCATCCCTCCCACCCCCCCCGACTCCAGCACCCCTCAGTTAGTTTCCTGAGATTAAGAATTCCTCATATAAGTGAGATCATATGATACATGTCTTTCTCTGACTGATGTATTTCGCTTAGCATAATACCCTCTAGTTCCAACCACATCATTGCAAATGGCAAGATTTTTTTTTTTTTAAAGATTTTATTTATTTATTTGAGAGAGAATGAGATAGAGAGAGAGCGCGAGAGGGGAGAGGGTCAGAGGGAGAAGCAGACTCCCCGCCGAGCAGGGAGCCCGATGCGGGACTCGATCCCGGGACTCCAGGATCATGACCTGAGCCGAAGGCAGTCGCTCAACGGACTGAGCCACCCAGGCGCCCCAAGATTTTTTTTTTTTGATGGCTGCATAATATTCCATTGTCAGTCTCATTCAAAGAAACTTTCTCACCTCCTACTGTCCTACCTTACCAGCCGCCTTTAGGTTCTTTTGACAACAAACATAATTACTCCACAGTCCATGCTGTGACTTTCTACCTATAACATTCTTCTCTCCAGTGCTCCACCATAGTTAACTGATTCACAGTTCACATTCTTTGAAGTCTCCATTTAAACATGTAGAGAAGGCTTTCCTGACTGATCATTCAAGCTAAAGAAGGGCTCTCTATTACTCTCATAATCTCCAGGGTTTTTTTCCCCCCATTACATTTATTATATATTTGTAATTATTATATTTATAGACTGGCTTATGTCTTTCTCTTCTGTTAATTAGATTTTAAGCTTCATTGATAGGAACTATACTATTTACATACCCAGTTCCTCATGACGCTTGGCATTTAAGATGTTCAACAAATTTATTAAACAAAGAACTGAAATGAATCAACAAAAAAAATACCTTGGAAGCAAGCAGTGATCACCTAGGGGCAGTGTAGTATAAAAGAGTATTTTTATTAAAGAGATAGACAGATGAGCCCACAAAGGACAGTACTATCCACACTACTACTTATGGCACTTTTTAGGCCATTTATATTATAGTATACATCTAATCTCCTGCATCAAATTATGAATCCCTGAATGGACAGCTAGAATCAGTCTGATTATAAATACAAGTGATGCTACTTCTGACATTTTTAACTCTTGAGCAAGTTGCTTCTATTTATATGAAGTTAATTACAAAATTAGAGTAACAAAATCTGCTTCACAGGATGGCTATAAGGAGTAGAAGAAAGAAGCGCCTGGGTGGCTCAGTCGGTTGAGCGTCTGCTTTCGGCTCAGGTCATGATCAGGAGGTCCTGGGATGGAGCCCAATGTTGGGCTCCCTGCTCAGCGGGGAGTTTGCTTCTCCCTCTCCTTCTGCCCCTCCCCCTGGCTTGTGCTCTCTAGCTCTCACTCATTCTCTCTCAAATAAATAAAATTTTAAAAAAAAGTGAAATATGTAAAAAATTATAGTAAATGTCAAGACATAACAAATGTTATGTTGTTTTTATCTCCATACACAGTAGAATCTCATCTTTCTCAGAGTATGTTCTAAAGTCTGTAGGGCATAAACAATATTGCCAAATGGTTCTTTAGGTCTTTAAATCACCTATAAAATACAACATTTGTGGTTTTGTATATACAGGGTTCTCTAAAGGTCCCAATACCGAAGTTTTTCCTTCTGAATTGAAAAGGACTCCTTTCTATGATTGGAACCCCAAATGAAGTTGTTGGATTATGTTTAGGGGTCATATTAAAATAAGAAAAACAACCACTGTTTTTGTTGGCTAGCCACATATAGAGCCACATGTGAGTTAAAAATGAGCATGTGCAGGCACCTGGGTGGCTCAGTCGTTAAGTGTCTGCCTTCGGCTCAGGTCATGATCTCAGGGTCCTGGGATTGAGCCCCACATCAGGCTCCCTGCTCCACGGGAAGCCTGCTTCTCCCTCTCCCACTCCCCCTGCTTGTGTTCCCTCTCTTGCTGTGTCTCTCTCTGTCAAATAAATAAATAAAATCTTTAAAAAACAATGAGCATGTGCC